TTTCTTTTTTGTTTTTTGTTTTTTTTTGGCCAACCCTAGGACTCTCTGAGGCTTGAACTCAGTACGTGGGTGCTGTCCCTGAGTCTTTTGTGCAAGGCTAGCACTCTAGGTGCTAGGATGATCCAAAGTTTGACCCTGGGGGCTTTCTACAAACCTCTCGCACCTTGGTAGTCAGTGCCCAACAAGTTTTCTACTAAATCACAACCTTGACATGAACTGGTAGGCTCTAGAAAGCTCTACAGTATCCAAACAGAATAGTGGACTAAATCTAGGAGTTTGGGGTGAGGACCGCCCAGATTCTATCTGCATCTCCCAATTTGTTACTGAAACCTTGGTTCCCCATACTCAATGCCAATTAGAATAACAAGATCAAGTTTAGGAGCAAAGGAAATAATAAAGGCTGATTAATTTTGCTGGCAAATTAAAATATTCAACGAACCAGGCACCTCTTATCTATTAACCACCAAAAGGCTGGAAATGGAGATGTAACTTGTGTGTAACTTTATAAAAAAAAAAAAAAAAAGACCAACCAAAACCAGATGCCAGTGGCTCATACCTATAATCCTAGTTACTCAGGTGGCTGAGATCTGAGGATTGGGGTTCAAAGCCAGCACAGGCAGGAACGTGTGAGACTTTTTTTTTTTGGTCGGTCATGGGGCTTGAACTCTGGGGCCTGGGCGCTGTCCCTCAGCTCTTCAGCTCAAGGTGAGCGCTCTACCGCTTGAGCCGCAGCGCCACTTTTGGTTTTTAGAGATAAGTCTCCCAGACTTTCCTGCCTGGACTGGCTTTGAGCCATGATCCTCAGATCTCAGCCTCCTGAGTAGCTAGGATTACAGGCATGAGCCACTGGTGCCCGGCTTGAGTGAAACTCTTATAGCCTCCATTAACAAGCAAAAAGCTGCAAGTGGAGCTGTGGCTCAGGTGGTAGAGTGCTTGAGTGAAAAAAGGCTGAGACTCCTGAGTTTAAGCCCAAGTACCCATACAAAAAATAAAAGGACGGAAGACAGAAAGATGGAAAGCAAGACAGAAAGCAAGCAAGCAAGAAAGGCTAGAAGGAAGGAAGGTAAGAAGAAAGGAAGCAGGAAGGAAGGAAAGAAGGAAGGAAGAGAGGGAGGGAGGGTGCGAAGGTAGAAAGAATTACTTCTTGTAATTAGGCTGGCTGTGGCAGAGGTCAAGCCCACCCATCCATCGGCCTCTAAGGGCTGTCCTTCAGTAAGGAAGGGACTCCCATATGATGCCGCCGGCCGTGGGGAACCATTTTATCTGGGCCAAAGATACAACAAGCACCTGACACCAGAAGCGGGCAGTCTCCCAGAGCCTCCAACATCCCCAACTTGACTGTCCCCAGGTGAGGGGACGTTTGCTGACTCACTTTTCTTCCTTGGCTTCCCCTTGCAAACCGTTGGCTGCCCTTTCTGCAGTCCTGTGTGGTTCACAACATTTAATCCGAAGCAATGGAATATTCCTTGGCGTGGAAGGGTGGAGGCGGAAGTCCAGCCCCCGGCTACCTCCAAGGCTCTCAGGTTGCAGGGTTTCAGGTGTGTTGGAGGAACATTGCTGAGGAGAGCCCCAGGCACGCAGAATGCTGGACAGCTGGCAACACGCATGCTCTGAGCTGCGTTCCCTGTGCCTACCAGCTGTTTGCAATCAGCCCCAGCTCTGCCCCCCAGATCATTGTTGTTCTGTCTGGTTGGGCTTAAGAAAGGCCCAGGAGCCAGGCGCTGATGGCCCACACCTGTAATCCTAGCTACTCCAGAGACCGAGATCTAAGGATCGTGGTTCAAAGCCAGCCTGGGACATTCATCTCCAGTTAACCACCAGAAAACTGGAAGTGGAGCTGTGGCTAGCCTGGAGTGAGCAATCTTAGGGACAGCACCCAGGCCCAGAGCCCAAGCAGGGCTCAGATTTCAGTAAGTTCAACTGGGCAATTAGATCCTTCTGGCCACCTCGCCTCTGCTCTGCCTGCTGCCCAAGCCACTGCCTCCTGCCCTTCTCAAACACCTTGAGGGGCTTAATCAGATGCTCCTGATCTCGATCCTTCAGCAGTAGCATCTCTGACCTGCCGGCTTTCAGCTTCAGACACATCCTGTTCCAATTATCTCCAATTAAACAGCCAAAAAACCCCCAAAAGATGGTGTGTGTATGACTCAAGTGGTAGAGCACCAGCCTTGGTTAAAAAAGCCACACAAGAGCACAAGGCCTTGAGTCCAAGTCCCTATTAAAAAGTAAATTAGGCAGGGTTTGGGTAAAAGCGTGGCTGGCATCATGTCCAGCCTCAAAGCGGGCAAGAAGAAGGCCCTGAAGCATCCAACAAGCAGGCCAAAGAGATGAATGAGAAAGACAAAGCCTCCAAACAGACACAGAAAGATGAGCAGAAGAAACTAGAGGAACTGGAAGTGAAGGCCAGGTGGGAAGGGGCCCTTGGCCCCAGGTGGAATGAAGAAATCTGGCAAAAAGTAAGCTGTTCCTTGTCCCTGAGATGATGGTGACCCTTGATTTCATTCCCATTAAACATCTGGATTTCCTGCATAATGTCTCTGCCACCTATAGGTAGAATGAAGTTTTGTCTATGAACTTTAAGAGCAACCTTTCAAAATAACTCCTGCAGTGGCTCAGTCCACTGTATCAGCCATTGCTATCTTAGCTGTAAATTTTAAAGTAAACCCAGCCTGGATCCCTGCCAGAGTCTCCTTTGTCTACTTTTTTTTTGGTCAGTCATGGGGCTTGAACTCTGGGCTTGGGTGCTGTCCCTGAGCTCTTCAGCTCAAGGCAAGTATTCTACCACTTAAGCCACAGCACCACTTACAGTTTTCTAGTGGTTAATTGGAGATAGGAGTCTCAGGGACTTTGCTGCCTGGGCTGGCTTTGAACTGTGATTCTCAGATTTTGGCCTTCTGAGAAGCTAGGATTACAGGCGTGAGCCACCAGTGCCTGGCTCTTTGTTTTATTCTTGAATTCCGTATCATTTTGAAATTAAACCAACTCTTTTAAAAGACTAAAAAAGAGTAAATTAGAAAAAGCAGAAAAAGAAGTAGATAAAATAAATAAAAACAAACCCTGACACAAGTCTTCATGGATCTAGGGGCAGAGCCTGAGGATTCTTCCTCATATTCACAACTTCACAGGCACTTCATGACCCCACACACAACAATTCTGCTTTTGACCCATAGCTGTGTCTCCTAACCCTCTGAATTTAAGGTCAAACAAACAAACAAAAAAAAAAATACCACTCTTAAAAGCACAGCCATACTGGGTGCTGGTGGCTCACACCTGTAACCCTAGCTATTCAGGAGGCTGAGAGCTGAGATCATGGTTCAAAGACAGCCTGGGCAGGAAAGTTCTCCAATAAAATATTCTGAAAGGGCCAGAAATGGTGCTATGGCTCAAGTGGTAAGTTCTAGCCTGGAACCTGAGAAGCTCAGGGACAGCACCCAGGTTCTGAGTTCAAGTCCCAAGACTGGCAAAAAAAAAAAAAAAAAGGAAACGCACTTGTGGGCACATATTCACCCCCACAATGACCAACCAACATGATGATTACGACTCCATGGCTACTGGTGGTCTCTAGATGACTGACCCCACTGTTGAGTGTGTGGTGCCCCAAATTCCCCGGGTCCCCCAAAGCTGATAAACCCATCACCAAATGGGCAAAAGAGCTAAGGAGAGACTTGTAAGAAAAGACCTAAGAATGGTAAAGAAACATAGGAGGAAATGCTCATCATCCCTGGACAGACAAGAAATACAAATCAAAACAACTCTGAGATTCCATCTCATCCCAGTTAGATTGGCCAACTTTGTGAACAACAAACCTTGGCAGGTAAAAATGAACCCTACTGTACTGTACTGCTCATGGGAATGTAAACCAGTACAACCCCTCTGGACAGCAGTCTGGAGGTTCCTCAAAAAACTAAACATAGACCTTCCCTTTGACCCAGCCATGCCACTCCTAGGAATCTACCCAGAACATCACAAGCCAGAACCCCGTGAAGACACTTGCACAACCATGTTCATTGCTGCACTCTTCACAGCAACCAAGTTGTAGGAACAGGTTAGATGCCCTACAGTAGACTGAGTGGATCCAAAACCGAAATGTGGTATCTATACACCATGGGATTTTACACAGCCATTAGAAAGAATAGTATGCCATTTGTAGGAAAATGGATTGACCTAGAACAAATCATGTCAAGTGAGATAAGCCAAGCAAAACAAGTGGTACATAATTTCTCTCATAGAGAGGAGCTAGTTCTAAATACATGGCCCATGATAAATTACACAGGACTCTAGGCATTCACACAGTGATACTAAAGAACGCTCTTGGGAGATGAACACAAAGGCCCAAACGCTTATGTGCCTCTGATCATATAAAATAATCTTCATTGAAATGAACTCCAGGAAATGAAAACAAGTTGTTTTTTTTTTTCCCCTTCATTGCTGTTTTTCTTTCCTTTTTTGGGGGGGGGGGGTCAGTCTTGGGGCTTGAACTCAGGGCCTGGGCACTGTCCCTGAGCTCTTTTTGCTCAATGCTAGCTCTCTAGCACTTTGAGCCACAGCTCCGCTTCCAGTTTTCGAGGTTAATTGCAGATAAGTCTCATAGACTTTCCTGCCCAGGCTGGCTTAACCCTCAATCCTTAGATCTCAGCCTCTTGAGTAGCTAGGATTCTAGGTGTGAACCAATGCCAGGCTTTATTTTTCATCTTGTTTATTCACTTATCTGTCTTTGGGAGGGTTGAGGGGGCACAGAAATGGAGGGACAAAGGGTGAACAAATGCAGCAGTGCTATTCATTAGACACTGTGGCAACTCTAAAACTTGTGGGTGGGGACAAGAGGGAGAAAGTGGGAGAAAGCGAAGGAAAAGGTGACTTTATCCAAAAAAAGAAACCTATTCATTATGTGACTTACATAACTATAACCTTTCTGTACATCACCTTTATCATAATTAGAAAATAAAAAAGATCCCCAGGTCCCCTACCCACCCAATACAAGAGAGCCTTACACCAGCCAGCACAGAAAACATCGCTTTATTAACTGCATTTGCCAACAAATGAGGAGTGTCGAGGGGTCCTCAGACACAGACCCTGGCGGGGGTCAGCGTCTAGAAGCCCCCCCAAGAGTGAGCAGGACAGGATGGGGGTTTGGGGGCTATGCAGCAGCAACACAGAACCATGCAGGGCACAGAGGTACTGGCCGCACGGGAGCAGCCGTACATTCTATTGCTCGTTGAGGGCTGCCAACACAGAACAATGTACAAAAAGGAGAAATAGGTCTTTTGCAGTAATGAAAAATACATTTTTTTCTCTACAAAGGAATCTTTTCTAATACAAGAAAATAAATATTGCAACATAAGCCAAAAATAATTTAAAATTGCTCTTTTCAATATATTTTCAATATTTCTCTTGTATATTAACAAATGGCACATCACTTTTCTTTGAAGCAAAGACAGAAGGGGTCTCCTCCTGTGACATTCATGTTATTTCCCCCCCACACTGCCACCCTCCCTCAACACCCCCCCCCCAACCATTTGGACCACAAAAGGGTTTTGTGTCTCTGAGGGAGGGGACAGGAAGTTAAAGAACAACCAAAGGTCAGGCCAAGGGCTGAGCATAGATGCTTCCCCCAGGGATCTTGCTACCAGGATCCAGATTGTTCTACAGAGCATGGGCCCCATCTGGCAGCGAACAAGGAAATGCCGGTCCAGCTGTTGCCAGTATTAGTTACCATGGGGCAGCCAAGTCTCCAGATATACCCCTGAACTGGTATGTGCCCACACTGGCCATACCATACCCTAGGTGGCCTCTCCCCAAATCGGAGGCCTTTTACATGATACCCGCTGCCATCGTCAGAGCGCATTTAATAAAATAAACACATCTTCTACCTTTCTTCTCCTTATTTCAAAATACACTTACGATACACAAAAATACTTTCCTTAGAGGGAGGGAAGGAGGTGGACGGTGGCCAGGATGGGCAAGAATGAGTTAACAGAGTGGTGGCTGCCTCTCTGAGAAGCAGCGCTGAAGGTGGGTACGAGAAAGATCTGCCCCTAGGCTGGAAAAGGATCCTGCCAGGGTCATAGGGGTGCCAAAGCTGTCTACATTGTAGACGTGGCAGGAAGAGGGCAGGGGCTGGTGGCTAACAGGGAACGGGCTGAAGGGAACTGGGAGGAAGGAAACTGATACCCCTCATCCTCCTTGTGGCCTGGAGGACTTCCTGGAGGTGGTGGACAGCTGCCTGATGAAGACTGGCCTGGAAGTGAAAGGATTCTGGTCTCGTAGACACCTGGAGTCTGGCCAACAGGACATGGGCCAGAAGGAGGAGAGAGGCCAGCATCCAAAGCCAGACACAGGCCAGCCATCCATCTGCCTGTCTGCTTGGTCCTGGAGCTTGGCCAGCCCCAAAGCTAGAGACCAGATTCCTTCATCCCCTACCCACAGCCCAGCCCCTGCTGCCCCAGAATGCCACAAAAGGGTGAGGGACCCGCAGTGAGATCACAGCTGCATCCTAAGCCCTGTTAGCCACTCGAGCCCTGGCAGCGTTTGGTTGTTCTTTAACTCACCCCTTTGCTCGTTACAGGGTCAGACCAAGCAAGCCAGAAGACAAGGTTTTGACCCATAGTGACTGAAAGCACAGGGAAGAAAGATCTGTTTGAAGGCAGTAAACAGAGACTGGGGGTGGGGATGCTGATGACAACACCACACTATTGCCAAGGCGGGCGGGTGGGCAGACTAAGTCTACGTGGTAGCTCATGCCATCCCCTAAAGCGCCCAGGATCCTTGGAGCCCACCCCATGCTCTCAAGAGTCCACTTGGCTCAGACAGATGGGTCTGATGCCTCTGAACTGGAAAGAAAACAAAAACAAAAAAGTCATCATCTTTGTATCTGTATTCTGTGAACTGTCAGGAATCCAATGCCACTGTCGTACCTTTGGATAGGTTTTGCAGTCAGGGTGAGTAGACCAAGCCGTCCCCTATTCCGCATTATTTGCTCTTTGTGCATTTGCGTGGGTAAACAGGTGTCAAGACAGGTTCCCACGCTGGCTTCACAGTCAGGACCCCCCCACTCCCCACTTCCCGCCTGGGGGGGGGTGTATGTGTGTCTCAAAAGAAAAAAAAAAAAAAAAAAAAGAGTATAGGAACGCTCACAGTGGCCCAGCCCAGGGTCTGAAATCCAACGGCCAGCAACAGCAGCAGAAGCAGCAAAAGCCCCTTCCTCCCAGGGCCTGGGGTTCAGGCCTGGTCTTACTTCTCCGTGGATTGCGCCGTGACTTGTGTGTCTGTACTTTTGTTGCGTAAGAACTCCATTGAAAGAAGTCCAAGTGACAAGTTGTCAGGCCCAGACTGTGCTGTGAATTATGGTCAAAATATTCTTTGGCATCCACAGAGTGATTCGACTAATTTCACTGGACTTTTCCAAGGTTTCTGGTTGGAGAAGTTCTGGCTTTGTAACTTTTTTTTTTTTTAATTTTTTTTTTTTTATTTATTTTTTTAAACCAGTGGTGGAAGTGACCCAGGAATCATTGATCAAAGCAAAAAAGAAAAAAAAAAAAAGAAAAAGAAAAGAAAAAAAGTTCACGGAATTCCTTTTTGATTTGTTCCCTGAGCTATCACCCTGGGGCCACTCCATTGAAACTCTTCACAACAACCTGGGACTTGGAAGGGGGGAGGGGGAGAGAAGGGGGGAGGGGGGAAGGAGGGGATGGGGTGGGGAAGAGGGGTTAAGGCGCCAAAGGGATGGAGGAACATAGGAGCATCCAGCAAGTCTTCAACTAGCCCCAGCAGGCCAAAACTGGCCTGCCTTGGGCCCCGGGATCCCACTGCTTGTTGGAAGGAGACGTTTCCAGAAGGAAACAGAGGAAGAAGCTCATCTCTTTAACAGAACTAGGTAATTTGGAAAGGCAATGGTCTGGTCTGGCCAACTCCAGAGAGGAGTCATCAGACTTCAGCGGAGGCTGCCCCGAAGGAAGGAAGGAAGTTGGAGCCCCCAGAGTAATTCTCTGCAGTGGGCTGGTCTGAGCCCCACATCCCCGGCCCTGGCTGGGCACTGGGCCTCACTAGGAGCCCTCCACCTGCACTGGTGGCTGGCTGTTTGGGGGAGTCCCCTGAGTAAATGGCAACAGCTAAAGGAAGGATTTTGGGACATCCCTTCCCAGAGCCGCTGGGCTGGGCACTGGCAGGGGTAAAGCAGCAAGAAGGGGAGGGCGGCAAGGGGGGGGCAGGCCTTACGATGATATGGGTTGGTCAGGAACCAGTTGGGCCCCCTGCACCCCCTCAGTGCTTTCTCATATAAACTCGTTGTGCTTGTTTACAGTGAGTAGACTCTGGTACACTTATTATACTTCCTTGGGGATCAGTAGAGTGCAGCAGGACCCCCTCCAAAGAAAAAAAACAAAAACAAAAAAAGTAGGCCCCAGTACAATTTGGGGGCAAGGCGGGGCAGGCCCATCTGCCATAAAATAATGCCCAAACGACAGTCTGTGTCACCTAGTGGCAGCGGGCAGGAGTCCTGAGCTCTTCCTCACCTTACCTACACCTAGCCAGAAGCCCAGCAATGCTTCATGGGCCAGGACAGGGGTGGTACAAGGCCTGGCACAGTCCCTGTGACCAGAGCCATGGAAGAAATCCTAATGTCCTAGGCCAGCACAGAGGAAAGACAACAGTGTGGAATTCAAAACTCTCTCTATATTAAAAATAAAACCACAATAGAGTGGCAGCGTCAGGGAGTCTGGGACACTCAGCAGTTGGAAATGGCAGTTGTAATCGGGCTGAGGCCTTATAGGGGTCAAGGGCAGGGCCCGGGGTATGGGTAGGGGTAAGTTAGGAGGCGAGTACCCCCATACGGACTACCTCCTCAGCCCCTGCCTCCCTGGAGCCCCGCTGTACACCACTGTCCTCTGCTTCTACGTCCGAGTCGCTCAATTCCCCATCAGAGAAGTAGCCATCAGCCTCGGTGTCAAAATGCAGGCTGACCTTCGGCCTCTCAGCCACAGGGGTAGGTGGTCCTGTCCCAGAATCGGGCCTGGCACCCAGTGATCGCCGAGTGACCTTGCTCTCACGGGGTGGCCGCAGCCGGCCCAAGGACTTGGGGCTCACCATAGGGCCAGGCACTTGGACATTCGAGTCAGCAGCCATTGGGGCTGCCTCATCCGGAGTCCCCGGGGCCAGTGGTGGGGGGCTTTCCGGGACTGCTGGGACAGGACAGTCCCCAGCTGTAGGGCTGGACGGTAAGTGGGAAGATATCCGCCGTGGTGGCTTCCTGGTCGGGGGAGGCCCTTGCCCGCCTTTGCCATTGCTTGCATCCTGGCTCCAGGGCTTCTTCGAGTGCTTGTCTGAAGTGGTCAGTGAGCCAGGCCCCTCCTGCAGTGGTGGGGGTTTCTTCTTAGAGGGGAGACGGGTACGGCCTCGAGCCTTCCGGGCAGGGTCACCAGGTCGCAGCGAGGGGTCCCTCATGAAGCTGAGCAGGGTCTCCTCGTCCTGCAGGAGTTCCTCTGACAGCAGCCCCGGAGCAGGGTCTTCGCGGTGCCCATTGTTGAGTGACCATTCGCTCATGGCCATGTCTTCTGCTGTGATCTGGACGGATTGTGCCAGCCAGCTGTTGAAGAAGGTGCCGTCGATAGGGAATGAGGTGGATAAGCCTGACCAAGGGGAGAAAGGAAGGCAGGTGAGACCCGCCCTTTCAAGCAGCCCTCGCTGACCCCCTAAGCCAGCACCATGCTTCTTCCTTCCCAGTGTCCCAACTTGCCCATCCTTCCTGTCACCACCACCAAAGAGCAAGGTCCCCGCTCACCAGGACATCCAACCCCAGGACTGGGGGATCAAATGAGACCGCCAGCTCCTTGTTCAATCAAAGTGGCGAGAGCAGAGAGCATTAAACCAAGTGCAACTGTTCAGGATGCAAAGGAGGAGCGGAGTTTCCTCCGCTTGCCACCAGGGGGTGCTGCATCTTATGAGCACTCCCAGAAGCCTCTTATGCAAAAGTAGCAGAAAGTCTCTCATGGAGCCGAGGCTTCTCTTTAGACACGCAAGATGCCCCCTTGATACGTCAGGGCACATTAAAAATAAGAAGCTGGGGTTTTTGTGCAGAAGTGAAGTCAGAAGTGAAGTCAGAAGGGGGACTGTACCCTAAGAGTGTAGACGTTTATGACAGATCTCTTGGGAATCAGAGCCCAGTCCTGAGGCCCCTTGAGGACTGTTCTGTCCAATGGGACAGGAAGGAGGCCAGTGACAATGGCTACAGGACCTGTGGCCCCTCCTCTGGGTCTCTCTGAGTAGTCCTAGAAAGGTTTGCTGGGATTGAAGGAAGAGCCCATTTCAGAGTATTCTGGTAGACTGGGATAGACAGGGGGTTCTGGGAAAACCTAGCACTCAGAACCAGGATACTTCCTGACATTTCTTGTGGTGTCTCCTAGAGCCACCATCTCTACTCTGTGTGTCTGGCTTTACATGGGGTGACGATGGCGTGGGCTTTGCTTTGGCTGGGCCAGTGTGGCCCTTTACTCACCCAGCTGCCCCAGAACTGAGTCAGGCCCAGCCTTTACTTTCTCCTTCTTCTCAGGGCTGCTGCCCTTAGGACCCTCGCGGCCTTTCCTCTTAGAGTCGCTCTTCTTACCCTTCGCTCTCTTTCCGGACTGCTCTGTGTTGGGGAAAGTGAGGCAGAAGGTTACCCGGAGCAGCCTTGGTGAGGACCAACATTACCCAGTTGGCACGCAGCAGTGCTCATCCAGAACTCCCCACAGCTCCAAGGTCAGAGCCACAAACCAGGAGCACTGTCAGCTGGTGAAAGACAAGTACAGTGACATGCCACAGGTATCCTCTGGGGATAATAGAGGACTCAGGAAGTCCTGATGGATGAATAGTATGTCTGGACTGGCAGGGCCTTGAGTCCAGGAATGCTACTTTCAGCTTTTTGCTGGTTAACTGGAGACAAGATAGTCTATGGACTAAAGCCCTGGCAGGTTTTTAACCGTGATCCTCCGATCTCAGCCTCCTGAATAGTTAGGATGACAGGCCTGAGCCACCAGGCTTTGTCTCTCAGTCTGCTTCTGAGGTCAGCAGCAGATGGGAAGGTTCAGGATTTCCTTGGGTCAGGGAGACCTTAGTGGCCTTGAATCCTCCCCAGCATCTCAGCCAGAGATAGGAGAGCTTCCTGAACAAGGCAGAATGTCAAGGGATGTGGCCCAGCTCAGCTCTGCTGTTAGTTGTCAGAGTAACTCAAGCCAGGGCTTTGTTTCCTCACATGTGATCAGCTGGGGATGAGGGAGGCGGGGGGGAGGGGGGCAGCAGGAGCTTCCTCACTGCTCTGAGTCAGTCTAGACTCCTCCTCCAGACCACAAGGCCTTGCCCAACTTATTCTGGTTACCCTACAGTCTCATCTTAAGCACCTTGTTTCCCTCAGTTGCAGCCGTATCAAGGTCTTTCCAGTTTCCCCACCAAGACATGCTTTAGTCTGCAAATACGCTTTCTTGTCTGTCCTTCATCTGGTTTGGATCAAGGCCCTAATACCACCTTTAACCTCAGCCCATGCTTGTCACCTGCACCCCACGTCAGGCTCAAACCAGTTTTCTGTCCAAAATTTGCCTCATCCTAAACTGCCAAGTCCCCAAACCCAATGTGGAGGTGTGGACCCAGTACTTGAAGGCACTGCTTCTGCCCTGTAAGCACCCTGGGGTGCCTCTTCTGCACAGAAATGGGTGGCCCATGCATTGAGATGCTGCTCATGTCACTGCCACTGACTGCACAACCTGGGCCGCCGCTTTCCTTTCTCTCCAGATGGTAAGCTCCACGAGGGCAGGCACTCTGTCCGTGCTCCGTCAGCCATCTGCGTGCATAATAAGCTTTGCGTGGTACAATGAGCCCTGACTTAGCAATGTCCCCACACTTGGCCAGAGTGGGTGGTGATTTCAAAGAGTAAACTGAGGCAGCTCAGCTCTCGGCAGGGACCAGTATTCCAGTCATTCTGCTCTAATGGTGTCTGTCTCTAGGAAGGACCCTGTGTCTGCCCATCTCTGACACCAACAAGGTCAAGGTCAGAGCTCCCTGGGCTTTGATTTCTACACCTATTGAATGCATGTGAGTGTAAGAGAAGACCACAAAGGAAAACCACTGGGGCCTAAATCCTGCCATATACGACCAGAAAGAAGGGACACACACACACAGGTTACCTTCTAATCCTGGGGCAGCTGCTTTCCCCAGAATTGACTTGCTAGGCACCAGTTGCTCACATCTGTAAGCCTAGCCACTCAAGAGATCTGAGATCTGAGGATCTCAAAGCCAGCCCCAGTGGGAAGTCCATGAGACTCTTATCCCCAGTTACCCAGCAATTAGTCAGAAGTGGCGCTGTGGCTCAAGGGGCAGAGCACTAGCCTTGAGTGAAAAAGCTGAGGGACAGTGCCCAGGCCCTGAGTTCAAGCCCCAGTGCCGGCACAAATTTATAAATAAAAAAGACCACCAGGCACAGTGGTTTTCAAGGAAGCTCATCTGCCAGCCTGCCTCAGCCTCAATACAAAGCCACTAGGACTCAGAATCTCTAAGGAGCTGTGTTCCAGACTCTGGCTCATTGCCTATCAGCATTACCAGGACACCTGGCAGGGCCCCCTCTGGGTCTGGTAACTGCATGATGCAGATACAAAGTGGAGAGGAGGCGGATGGTCCCTTGTCTCATGCTCATGTCCTGCTAGGACTCAAAGATATATGTATATACCCAGTCCAGTGGGGTGCACAGAAATGGCAGCCACAGGCAGCCAGGAAGGGCAAGTACCTCGAGACAAATCCTGCTCGACGACCTTCATCTGCAGGTGGAATATCTGCTCCTGGAGCTTGCAGATGGCCTGTTTCGTCCTCTCGCGTCTTGTCACCATGTAGCACAGATTTCTAACCTGAGGAAACAGAGACATTTCCTACCTTAGTCTCTGATCGCCAGCCTGTAGGCCTCCATGCACCTGGGGCAGAGGCCATTGCTGTCTCCCTTCCAGGGACTTCTGGGACTCCATTTCCAGATCCTGAGTGGGTCCTGGGCCTCAGCTCCACATTTATCATCCACAACATGGGACCAAAGACCTCAGGCTAAGTCACCAGTGAACAGGGGGCACCAGGGCACCTCAGCCTGGCAACTCTGCCTTCCTCCTCTGGTTTTAACTTCTCCATGATCAGCCAGCCAAGCGGCATCCCACAGCTTTCCCAGCCTGGTTGCTTCTTGTCTACATTCACAGTGTGTGTCTGAAGCTATCTAGGTCTCCCCAAGTTCACCTCTCTACCTTCTAGCTCCTCACTGTCTTTGCCAGCAAAGCAACTCTTCAGACACAAGTAAAAACTCAGTCTGTCCTGAGATAGGCAGGGCCCGGAACCCAAAGTTAGAACGGCTTTGCATGGGCAGTCCCTACCAGTGTCTAGTCTGCAGAAGCCCAGGTCTGTCTACCCGCTGCACTGAACCAGGCCCCAGCTGATTAGCCAAAGCTTCCTCCAACTACGTGGCCACATTCACACAGCCAGCGAGAGAACTCAGCAGAAAGCCTGGAAGCCTAGGGCAGCGAGGAAGAGCCCCATGAAGACCATCTTGCTTATTATACACAGGTATGCGTCCTGCAGGCCTGTCCCCCCCCCCCAGCACCTTACCCCAGCATGCTGGTTTTCCTGACTGGTTGCTCTTTCGCACACTTCTGAGGCCAAGACCAGGCCTGGCTTGCTTTGCAATGAGCACTTTAGCTCAGGCCAGAGCCTCCTAAAGCAGGGACAGCTGGCCAGGCCCACTCAGCTTGAACCCTGAGTCCTTGCAAGGTCTTCCTAGCTACAGCCACTATCTCTGTCTAGCCAGATTCATCTTCCAGGCAGTGCTTGGTCTTCTTGTTCTTAAGCTTAGATGGGAGCGGCCTCTGGTTCCTACTCCTACTTGTCAGCAAGTCCACTATTCCTCCTGGCCCAGACTCTGCTGACAATGGGTGACTTTTTCTTCTTGAGCCTAGTGATAAAGGAGACCCTGGAAGGCCTTCTTCTGTCTCCAGCTCTGACAGGATGCATGCATTGTGTATAGACTCTCTGCATCACAGGCTAAACCGTTCAACTCCCCCGCCCCCCCCCACACCAAGCCTACATCTTCAGGCCCAGGTTTTATATCTTAATAAAAGTGATTTGCAATCATCAACTCTGCTGGTTTTTTTTTTTTTGGGGGGGGGTGGGGGAATGTGCTGGTCTTGGGGCTTCTGAGCTTCCATGGGAAAAGGGTGCCAAGGCCTAAGGCAGGGTTGACTATAGTCATCCGTGCTGCCACGGCTGGGGGATGAGGATGAAGAAGTAGAGGCTGTTGGTGGTTGGCCTGCAGGCTCTTGTAAGAGTCCAGCCAGCACAGCAAGTATACACCTTGAGGGAGGGAGGGCAGGAGAGAGGGGCTGACAGCAGAGGAGCTGAAAGTGGGAGGGGGGAGAGAAGAGGAGGGGAGGGGAGGGGAGGGAGTAAGAGGGTTCAACCAACTCAAATGCTGGTGGGATAGGTTGGTTCCTCTGGACTGAGGAACCACAGAACTAGGTGCCTGCTAAGAGAACGAGGGAAGCCGGGCACTGGTGGTTCACGCCTGTCATCCTAGCTACTCAAGAGGCTGAGATCTGAGGATCATGTTGCAAAGCCAGCCCGGGCAGGAAAATCCCTAAGTCTCTTATCTCCAATTAATCACCAAAAAAAAGCTGTAAGTAGAGCTGTGCCTCAAGTGGCAGAGCACTAGCCTTGAGCAAAAGAGGCCAGAGGCAGCACCTAGGCCCTGAGTTCAAGCTCCATGACTGGGTGGAGGGGAGGGGAAGAAAAGAGCCATGGGAATCAGGTAAGAGAACCCAGCATGTGGTGGACACACGACTCTCCAAGGCTGTTCACTGCTGTGGAATCTCTCTTGGGGGGGCAGAGGGTAGGCTGTGCTCTATGCTATGAGGTTCTGTCGGGGGTACATCCTCAGCACAGGAACAGAGGAATGGGAGAACAATGAAAATGGGAGGCCAAGGCCGAGTGGCTGGCTGGGGTGGGCAAATTCAGGTGGGGTAGAGGGAAAATGGGTTGGAGAAGTCCAGGAGGTGGGAGTCTGGAGGCTGGAACTACCCAGGCGATTAGGGAGAAAGCAAATGGACCACAATCGAGGCATTGAGAGCTCAGCAGACAGGGTGGAAAGTGACAAGGAGCCGGGTGCTGGTGGCTCACGCCTGTAATCCTAGTTCCTCAGGAGGCTGAGATCTGAGGATCCTGGTTCAAAGCCAGCCTGAGCTAGAAAGTCAGTGAGACTCTTATCGCCAATTAACCATCAGAAAACCACACAGAAGTGGTGCTGTGGCTCAAAGTGGTAGAATACTGGCCTTGAGCAAGAAAGCTCAAGGACAGCGCCTAGGCCCCGAGTTCAAACCCCACTACTGCCCGCCCCCCCAAAAAAAAACAACTGACAAGGAGGTAGGTGGCAAGTGTGGCAGAAGGCAGGACCCACTGAGCCTCTTTCCCCTAGGGACAGGTGGCAGAAGTGAAACTTCTGGGAGCTGCCACATGTCCATCTGGAGAGTGACTTCCATCCTTTTGACCCCCTCTGCAGGCCAAGTCAGGCTTTGGAATAAACAGAGAGCAAAGGCCCTGAACAGCCTTTATTGCTAGCATGGTTGGTTCTGGGGACACTAGCCAGCATTTGTAGGGCTGATGTTCACTGCTGTAAATTTTATGTCAGCTGTGAACAACTGGGAGGTTCCAGTGGCCAAGCCCTTCCAAGCTGCCTGTCAGGGCCAAGCCCATGGCTCTAAGTTTCAGGAGGCTGATCGTAACATGGGGTATCAGCCAGGCATCAGTGGCTCATGCTTTTAATTCTAGCTACTCAGGAGGCTGAGGTCTGAGAATCACAGTTCAAAGCTATCCTGGGCAAGAAAGTCCATGAGGATCTCATCTCCAACTAACCGCCACAAAGAGGGGGGGGGGCAGGAAGAGAAGGAGAGGGGAAAGGAGGAAGAAAGGAGGGAGGGAGAAGAAAGAAAAGTTGCACATGAAGTATGCTCAAGTAGTAGACCACTAACTTTGAGTGGAAAAGCTCCAGACCCTGAGTTCAAGCCCTAGTACCAGCACATCAGCACAAAAACAAACAAGTATCAACAACAAAACACCCCAAAATAAACAAAACATGGGTTGTCATGCTGGTAGCAGACCTAACTTCTCTCCACAGCTCCCTGGCTGGCCGTGGAGGGGCAAATCCTTCAGGGAAGATGCTGATTCCCAGGCCTCCTTTCTAAGAGTTCAACTGCTTGCAGCCAGCATCATCTGAGTCAGCAAAGGAGGTCACTGTGCTCAGCTCAGTCCCCTGTCCTAGCTGTGACCCCTAGGTGAATTTGAGTCTTCTTGCCACTTGCCACAAAGCAGGCACAGGGCTGGGAAGCACCACTGGACACAAAGCCAGGTCCCCAAAGGCTTCCGGGCTGGAGACATACACCTCCCAGATGGATCCAGGCCTAAGTTGGCCTAGTGCCCATTCTCAGGCTGGATACTCTCTGCTGTTGGCAATGGGCCATAGTTGGGGAGCAGTCCTGGTGGCCAGGCCACCAACGCCCACAGGGCTTTGCAGCAAGTTGCCTTTCCTTTCCCCTCCAATGCACAGCTGAGTTCCTGATGCTGATCGTTCCCTTAGGACACCAACACATGGCCCTGAGAGGCCTTAAGGCTGGGACTCCCCGGGGTTGACAGCTGGCTCATGCTTGTCTCCAGGGCTGTTTCACCCCTTGCCCTGTTCTCAGCTGATGCCGTACCAGCCCAGCCACCATAGCTCTGAGGAAACAGCATTTGGACAGGGTCCTCCCGAGCCATGAGAAGCTACACAGCCTCCGGAAGGTCCCGACTCTTCTTTCTAGAGGATTAGACTGATGATATCTGCCTTTGGATGGGGCTGTGGCGGCTGTTTGCTCTGGGCTCTGCCAGGCTGGCACCCCAGGCTTTGCCAACCTCAGATTTTGGTTCCATCTGTACCAGCTGACCCTAGAGTTAGGAGGCTGGAAGACTGACTTTCCTTCTTTCCCTCCCTCCCTCCCTTCCTCCCTCCTTTCCTTCCTCTCTCTCTCTCTCTCTTTCTTTCTTTCCTTTCTTGTCCTGGGGCTTGGACTTGGGGCCTGGGCACTGTCCTGAGCTTCTTTTGCTCAGGGCTAGCTCTCTACCACTTGAGCCACAGCGCCACTTCTGGACTTTTCTGTTTATGTGGTAACTGAGGACTTCATGGATGCTAGGCAAGCCCTCTATTACTAAGCCACATTCCCTGACTGACTTTCTGCCTGGGCCATTTATACACTAGAGAAAAAGAATGAACAGACCCTGCTGCCCCTCCCTCCCCCAACTCAAGAAGTAAAGTCAAACACCAACCTTCCTCTAAGGCTTCCTGTTATTTCATAGAGCTCAGAAGTATTGCTTTTCTTCCTTTCTCAGGATGACAGCTGTGGACGTGACTCAGCCTTGCACCACCCTGCACAGCCCAGCCAGGGCCAGACACCAGGGCTGACCACAGACCAAGGAGGGCTCATCTGACTGCAGAAGGAGAGCTGTGCATTCTGGAAGCAGCTTTGGTCTCCAAGGGCTCACAGCTATGACCCCCGCCCCATGTGACATGAGTCTGGGTTGCCTAGGCTGCTGTGGTTGCAATGTAGGTGGCCATGCCCCCTGCCCAGGCTAGACTTGGAGACATGGGATCCTCCCAAACCCCTTTCTGATCTGCTACCACCAAGCGTTAAGAGTCCTTCCAAGCCATCAGAGTCATTTCCCTTTTGCCCAGGGCCCAGGGCAGATGAGTGGGGTAAAGAGGAAATGAATGGGAAAGTGGGGTCTGGTCACTCCTTCCTCTTTAGTGCAAGAGACAAGATGTACCACTCCCTTTTTTTAAAATACAGATTTGTCTATAAGAAAAGCAGCTGACCCCAGGTCACAGATCTCCCTGGAAGCCTAACAGCCTAGGCTAAAGGTGACATGATGTCTATGTCCCTGTGATACCACAGCCCATGCTCTGGGAACCCCAGAACTAAATGTCCAGAGAGGAGGTCCCTGGGGCTCAGAGGACTGGAGCTAAGAGTCAGCTCACTCAGATGTAAATCTAATACCCTAGACCGAGCCACTATCCTGTCTCTGCTCCAGGCCACCTAGGGGAGAGTGTTTTCAGCCATACTCCTGCCAGTCTGTGTGTGTGTGTGTGTCCACTTCTGTTTTTTTTTTTTTTGCTAGTTAACTAGAGTCTTACAAACTGTCCTGGGCTAGCTGGGTTCAAACCATGAACCTCAGATCTCAGCCTCCCGAGTAGCTAGCATTACAGGCCTGAGCCACGGGTGCCCAGTTCCCCCTGCCACATTGAAGATTCCAGTCTTTCATGTGGAGGGCCCAGAAATCTCAGTTTCTGCAGCTCAGACAAGATACCACGCACCCTTGTGTGGTCCAACAGCCCCTTCACCCTCTTCCACCACCTGGGGCATGTGGCTGATCGATCACATCCCCACTGCATGCTTTGTGCTCCTGCTGTCAGACACCCAAGAGCCACGTTCCCATCTACCAACCCAGGCTCACCAGCACAGGTGTGATTGGACACTTCTTACTGTCAATGACCAGGCATTCAGCAAAGACCAGAGGGGCCGCAGCTGGGAAGCCCCACTCCACCCCAGCCTTCAGTCTCAGAACAGAAGTTCATATGTTTCGGACCAGGCCAGAGGTGACGAGGTATCAAAAATCTGGGTCCTGGTCAACTCTGGGGGCTCCTTAGCCACCCATTCACAGCTGGGCCATTTTCACCATGCTTGTGGTTAAGTGCGAGCCCCAAGAGCTGAATCTTTCTGTGTTCCGTAAGTGTTAGTCACCCCCAAACTGTGGGAATCTATGGAAGCCAACTTCTTGGTGGCTATCAAACATGGCCAGGAGGCCAAGGTTCACAGCTGCGTCCCACTCAGTCTTGGCTGTCCCAGGACAGTGATGTGGGGTCACCAGGCCTCCAGGGATGGCCCAGCAGGGGCTACTCACCCGCTCCAGGTCCTGCCGCAGGTGTGTGAACAGCTTTAGGCGGCGGTACAGGACATCTTGTTCCTGTTGGGCCAAATTGTCCACCTCATCCGTCTTGGGCGTCAGTAGTGGCTGGTTGGAGTTGGCTTTCCTCTTCAACTTCCAGTACTGGTAGATAAAGTCAACCAGGGACTCAGCCAGGTCCAGCCGCTCGGCCACCTCAGCCGGGTCCACCAGCTCGTAGAAGTCTTCCTCCAGCTGCTGTAGCCGCTGCTTGCGCAGTGTCACCTTCTCCAGGTCCTCCCCGGCCTGGCTGGGCTCCACGGACTCTGATGGAGGCTCGGCCCTTGGGCCTCCATCGCTGTGCTCCTGGCAGAATGACTTGAACTTGACCTCATCGTTGTCTGCTAAGATAGTTCGCATTTCCAAGCTGTGGTCAAAGGCGCATGTGACGTGAAATGCCGTGACGCAGGAAGGCATGGAACACTGGAGAGGGACAAGAAGGATGGGGTCAGGTGTGAAAGGAAGCCCTCGGCGGTGGGGTGAGGAGAGAATGGGGGACTTCTCCCACGGATCCACTCAAGAGTGTAAAATCTGGGGACATTCTACATTACATGGCATGGGTTGCCGGTTGCCATGGCTCACGCCTGTCATTCTAGCTACTCAGGAGGCTGAGGTCAGAGAATCACGTTTTTTTAATTTTTATTTTATTTTTGTCGGTCATGGGGCTTGAACTCGGCCTGGGCACTGTCCCTGAGCTCTTCAGTTCAAGGCTGGTGCTCTACCCCTTGAGCCACAGCACCACTTCTGGTTTTCTGAGTGGTTTATTGGAGATAAAGAGTTTCATGGCCTTTTCTGCCCAGGCTGGCTTTGAACCATGATCCTCAGATCTCAGCCTCCTGAGTAGCTAGGAATACAGGCATGAGCCACCAGCGCATGGTAAGAATCATGGTTTGAAGCCCGAGCAGGAAAGTCCATGAGATACTTACTTCCGATGAACCACAGAAAACCAGAAGTAGAGCTGTGGCTCAAAGTGGTAGAGCACTAGTCTTGAGCATAAGCACTCAGGGAACCCAGACCCTGAATTCAAGCCTCATAATCATCAAATAAACTATGGGCCCCCAGCATCCTGCTGGGTTTGGAGAATTAGGGCAGATAGGATGGATCACCTGGAAAGGCAGAGAGCCTAGCACCATACAGCTGGGGGAAGCCATCAAGAGCCTGGGTCTGGGACAAGAAGCTTTTTTTGTTTGTTAGCTAAAGGGTGTTGTTATGTACCCCAGCTGGCTTCAAACCCACCGTCCTGTCTCAACCACAGGTGTGAGCCACCATGTGCCTGGATCAGAGCGAAGTTTTTATATGCCAAAAAAAAAAAAAAAAGAGCTGAGTGCTGGTGGCTCACTCCTGTCATCCTAGCTACTCAGGAGGCTGAGATCTGAGGATCACAGTTCAAAGCCAGCCCGGGCAGGAAACTCTGTGAGACTCTTCTCTCCAATAAATCACTAGAAAACCAGGAGTGGCGCTATGGCTCAAGCGGTAGAGCGCTCGCCTTGAGCTGAAGAGCACAGGGAAAGTGCCCAGGCCCAGAGTTCAAGCCCCACGACCGACCGACCGACCGACCGACCGACCGACCGACCGACCAACCGACCGACCGACAGACAGACAGACAGACAGACACACACAGGTTGGGATTAAAAAGCAGCAAAAGAAAGTTTGAGTGGGCATGGTAGGGCACAACTGTAATCCTAGCACTCCTGGGAGGCTGAGGGAAGATCATTTATCTAGGCCATCCTGGGCTATGGCAGTTTGAAAAATAAATATATAAAAAGGACCACTGCTCTCGACTCCTGTAATATTATCTAGGGTAGGGGAATTTGGGGCCCATCTTTCTCCCCTGGGAGGAGGGTTACAAGGGCTACCAGCCTTGGATAAAGACTTTAATACCCAACATTAGGGGCCACAGATGCTGCCTACAGGCAGTCCCTCAGGGTTGTGTAAATGGATGGAGACACACCTGATGTTGCCGTGACGATTCATCCAGGAGAGAGCAGAAGGACAATCTGCCTCTCTCATAGACCAAAGGCAGCAGCATCCCTTGTCACTCTGTTAGCCATGTAAAGGCTCAGATCTATTCAACACAGGCTCTATTGAAACCTCTGGCCTTGGGGACTCGTACGCATACCAGGATGTGGGAGTCACTCACAGGCAGACAGTGGTTGAGTCTCCGGTGGCAACGGTGGAGTGTGGTAATGTGCCATGGGTGCTGTTCCTGGCTGGCATGTTAGGGGGAGACAGACTACGTACCTGGATGCAGGTACCTGTGCATTCCTTACACAGGCTGCAGGACAGGGCCCAGCGGCTGGCTGGAATATGTGAGATCTTGGTGATGGGCTCCATCTTCTCTGGGCAGCCGATGCTGACCTGGGCCAGGACACAGGGAATTCCATCAGTTCCCAGTCTGCCTCCAAGGTTCCCCAAGTGAGGGACTGTCTTTTTTTCCTTGGTCCAAAACCAGGACTTGAACTCAGTACTCGATGCTTTTGCTCACTGGCTAACACTCTACCAATTGAGCCATGCCTCCAATCTTGAGACTGACCTGCTGAACCCAGGCTCTGGGCAGAGAGAGCAATGGTTGAACCCCCTAAATCCCCGGTCCTTCTGAATTACAAAACAGACATATTTAAAGTCTAGGTCCTTCCTCACCAGCCCAGTGACTGGTGGGTGGGAATGCATGCAGTGTATGTAGATACCTGGGAGAGTGCCTGTGTGGGTCTCAGAGGAAAAGAGAGAGAGAGGAGTGTGTGTGTGGGGGGGGGAGAGTTGGCTCAGTGGTAGAGCACTTGCCTTGCATGCATTGAGGCCCTGGGTTTGATTCCTCAGCACCACATAAGCAGAAAAAAGCCGGAAGTGGTGCTGTGGCTCAAGTGGTAGGGCACTAGCCTTGAGCTGAAGGACAGTGTCCAGGCCCAGAGTTCAGACCCCTACAGAGAGGGGGGGGGGGAGAGAGGGGGGGGAGAGGGAGGGGGAGAGGGAGAGGGAGAGAGGGAGAGAGAGAGAAACTGCATTGCATGGGTACACACATAGGATTTCCCTTCTATACCTCAGGCCTTCGTTAGTTTAATGGCACCTTTAGAGTTTTGTGATTTTTTTTTTGTTGTTGGTTGTGAGGCTTGAACTCTGGGCCTAAGCAATATCCCTCAGCTCTTCAGCTCAAGACTAGTGCTCTAACACTTGAGCCACGGCGCCACTTCTGGTTTTCTGAGTGGTTTATTGGAGATAAGAGTCTCACGGATTTTCCTGCCTGGGCTGGCTTTGAACCACAATCCTCAGATCTCAGCCTCCTGAGTAGTAGGCGTGAGCCACCGGCATCCAGCAACCTTTAGAATTCTTGTAACTTGTCACTTTTTACTAAGCACCAAGAACAGGCCTCATGGCATCTCCTCTTGCGGGGTCTCTTTAGGGCTCTTCTGGCCAGTGGGAATAGACCTTTGCTAAGCCTCTCTTAAAGGGACTGTCCTGACATTGTGCTGAGTAAATTAGACCCCAGCTCCAGGAAGCAGGCACAATGGCTTCCCTACAGCCCATACCAGAGGACAGAAGGAAGGGCCCTTCCAAAGTGCTCTATGGTGGGCTCTCTGTTGGGTCACTGAGCTGTGCTCAGTCTAGGGAACACTGAGAGGCAGTTCCAGCTATCAAGAGGGAGATGTGAGAGCAGGTACTACTGCTAATGCAGTAGTGGGTCCTAGCAGGTGACCTTTGGGCTAGGAGCCCGGGAATGGAAGTGCACACACTGACTGGACCCTGGCTTATTTCTGGGCACAGATAGCATAGGGATGGGCTGCAATATGCAGCTTTCTAGTGAGTTTCAGTCATTAGTATTATTTTGGCTGGTCCTGGGGCTTGAACTCAGAACCTAGGTGTTATCCTTGAGCTTCTTTTTTTTTGTCGGTGGTGGGGCTTGAACTCAGGGCCTGGCCATTGTCCCTTAGCTCTTCAGCTCAAGGTAAGCGCTCTACCACTTGAGCCACAGAGTCACTTCTGGTTTTCTGAATGGTTTATTGGAGATAAGAGTCTCTCAGTGTTTCCCGTCTGGGCTGGCTTTGAACAGCGATCCTCAGCTCTCAGCCTCCAGAGTAGCTAGGATTACAGGCGTGAGCCACAGACACCCGGCTAATCCCTGAGCTTCTTTTGCTCCAGGTTAATGCTTTAATCACTTGAGCCATAGCTCCATTTCTCACTTTTTTGGTAGTTGATTGGAGATAAGTTTCACCAACTTTCCTGCCCAGGCTGGCTTCAAATTGCAATCCTCAGATCTCAGCCTCGAGTAGCTAGGATTACTCGTGTGAGCCATTGGTGCCTGGCTTTTAAGAAAATGGTCTCCACTCACCCTGTAAATCCAGACTGTTGTCCCGAGCCTTCCCAGCTGGCCTCAACCATGGGCCCACCCCTCCATCCTAGTCATTGCCAGAAGAGCAAGCCCACTATCCAGCTTCCATTAGGCTGGGTGCCTAACTTTGGTTGAGATCAGCTGGGTTGTTTTAAACATGCAGCTCAACTGTGGTTTACATGGCCTCCTAACCTATGTCCCTACCATTGGCTGTCTGACTGTTATCCTTGGACCAACCTCCTGACCCTGCCATCACCCATTACCTCACCTACCCACAGAAACCACCCCTCAACAGTGCCTAAGTCCACCAAGTTTCCGTGGGCAGCTGCTGCTCCAGCTTCCCAGGCCTGTCACCCCAGATCTTTGCATTCTATTCTGGGCTTACCTGATATCCTGCCCACTTTCCCACATGCTATCCCCCGGGCCTGCCCTCCCTACCCCAGCCCCATGCCTACCCACCTCAGGAATCCACAGGGCGCAGCTGACGTGCACCCACTTGGTCCCACTTCTAGTGGGCTTCAGGGCTCCTCCTCGCTTGGGGCAGAGCAGGCACTTTGGCTGGACTCCCAGGGCACACGTCCGGCACAGCCAGCTCCCCGTAGGCACCTTGAGGATCCCGTAGCATGCCTAGGGAGAGAGGGAGGTCATGACTTGGCTGAAAATGGTGCCAGGCCCAGGCTATGGGTAAAGCAATGAAGACTCCAGCCTGGCAGGGAGACCCCTGGCGGGAGGGTTGTCATCCAAGGGCTCCTAGAGGGTTCTTTGCCTACCTAGCATGTCTGAAATCTCTCCATTTCCCCTTCTTCTAGGAAAGGACTCAGGGATGCCCTCTGCTGGGAAGAAACTCATTCTATCCAACTAGCATGGATTTCAGGAGGATCCATAACCCTCACCTCTTAGGTGGAATATGAAAAATTGCCTCTAGGCTAGGTATTGTCAAGTCACACCTGTAATCCTAGCTACTCAGCAGGTTGAGATCACAGTTTGAAGCCATCCCAGGCAGGGAAACTGCACGAGACTCTTACTTCCAATCAACTACCACACAGCTGGAAGCAGAGCTCTGTGGATCAAGTATTAAAGTGCTAACCATGAGCAAAACAAAGTTCAGGGACAGCACCCAGGCCTTGGGTTCAAGCCCCAGTATCAGAACGTAAAGAAATTGATTCGATGCCTTCTTGTAAGACCAAGGCCCAGAGCCTTCTTCTTTTTACAGTTCTATGAGCAGGGTTCTTTCTGGTCATGTTTAGGTTGGGAGGGATCAAGTGTGGCTGGGTGGAAGTAGGAAGTCAGAGCCAGCTCGGACTTCCCCAGAGTCTGGTGCAGCTGCAGTGTGAGCCTGAACGTCAGAGCCAGAGTGCATTCTTGGGTCCTAGCCAGGACTTCCAGAAACAGCCTGAAGATATCCAAGCCTTCTCTTATCTTGGGGAGTTCTGGACAAGTTGGTGATGGGGCTTGAACTTAGAACCCGGCTATTGTCTCTGAGGATTTTTTTGCTCAAGGTTAGCACTCCACCACTTGAGCCACAGCTCCAATCCTGAATTTCTGGTGGTTAACTAGAGATAAAGAGTCTCATGGACTTTCCTGCCTGGGCTGGCTTTGAAAAACCATGATCCTCTCAGATCTTTGCCTCCTGAATAGCTAAGATTACAGATGTGAGCCACTGACACCCAGCTGTACCTATTTCCTAATAGCACTAATGGTAACAATGGCTCATAGCCTTGACTGTGTGAAGAACTCGTAACAAGCAACTTAATCTTCTCAAACTCACTTTCCTTTTTCTGCAGTGCTGGTACCCTGGTGGCCTGTGAAACCCTACAATCACACACAGCCTGTCTGCAGTGTGGGGGAGGGAGAGGGGGAGTCCCCTACCTGGTGGACACAGACGTTGCATTTGTCACAGAAGACCATCTCGTTGCCGTCCTCACCCTCAGGAGAGCGACACACATCACATACGACGTCCTCGTCGTACTCGATGCCCAGCCCCTCCTGTGTCTCAATGGCTCGTGTCATATTCTGGTGGCACAATGTCTCCAGCTCCTCCAGCACACGCTCTAAAGTCAACTCATCCAGCTCAGGTCTCTCTACAAGGAGGAAACAGGGTGTGGGGAGGAGAGATAGTATCAGTGTTAGGAAATCCAGCATCCCTTGAAGTCTGAAGAGGCCTCGGATCCTGGGGCTGCAGCAGACAGAGAGAATGTCTCCAAAGGTTCACTGGCCTACTGGGAGAACTAAGGAAAACTGGGCATAGGAGGGACTTTCTAGCAGAGGCTGGACCATCCACCTTGGCCTCTGATCTCACTGAAGACAGGCTGCCTAAGACCACATGGACAAATGTTGTGTTCAGAGAGCATGCAGTGTGTGGAGTGGAGCTGGTTTAGATACACTCCTGCTATATCCCCTAGTGTTGGCTAGAATCTACTGCTGGAGCCTTTATAGGATGAAATGTTCCAAAAGTGGCTGAATACCAAAAAGCTGGGCTTTCCTGGGTGAGGCCAATTACTGGGCTCCAGCCAGAAGAACCAGCCTCCCCCCCACACCCCACTGATTAGCTCCATCATATGCTCCCGCACTCTTGTATTTTCTTTTTGGTTGGCTGTGGGCTTGAACTCAGGGCTTGGGTCCTGTCCCTGAGCTTTTTCATTCAAGACTAGCGCTCTAGCCCTTGAGCCACAGAGCCACTTCCAGTTTTCTGGTGACTAATTGGGGGTAAGAGTCTAAGAGTCTCACACTTTCCTGCCCAGGCTACCTTCAAACTACAATCCTCAGATCTCAGCCTCCTGTGTAGCTAGGATTACAGCCATGAGCCACCAGTGTCTGGCTTCCTTATTCTTTTTGTTGTTGTTGTTGGTTGTGAGGCTTGAACTCTGGACTTGGGCACTGTCCCTGCACAGCTCAAGGTGAGCCCTCTACTGCTTGAGCCACAGTGCCACTCCCGGTTTTTCTAGCAGTTTATTGGAGATAAGAGTCTCACGGACTTTCCTGCTGGGGCTGGCTTTGAACCATGATCCTCAGATCTCAGCCTCTTCAGTAGCTAGGATTACAGGCGTGAGCCACCAGAGCCCGGCTCCCTTATTCTTTTATTTGCCAGTTCTGAGGTTTGGACTCAGGGCCTCGGGATTGCTAGGGTGGTGCTCTACCACTTGAGTCACACCTCCAGTCTGGCATTTGCTGGTTATTTCAGAGATGACAGTTTTAAGGATTTTTCTGTCCAGGCTGGATCTGAACCTCAGTTCTCTGGCTCAGCCTCCTGACTAGCTAGGATTTTAGGAATAAGTTATCAGCATCTGGAAAGCTCATTCTTATTCTTCATGTGACATGCCATCATTCCCCTCAAACTCCATGAATACCTATCATTGCTCCCAGCTGATGGCTGCAGAAGCTTCAGATATAGAGAACCAAAACTATAGCCATTGGAGAGCAGCAGGACCCCCACCCTGTCTGGGCCACTGTCTTTCAGGAGGGGAGGAATGTGAGGCTAGAAAGAAAATGCCAACCCCCTGTCCCAGCCCCATTTCTGGCACAGTGGACCACCTACCCATCAACTTGAGCTCTGAGTTGAGGATTTCCAGCCAATAGACATCGATCTCATCCAGGTCATAGCGGCTAGTCCAGGCAGGCTGGGAGCCCTCACCAAGTGCAGAGTTGCTTGAGGATGTCGAGGGGCCTTCCAAGGGCGGCAGGAGCCTGAGAAATCAAGGGAGAGTGTTGTAGAGGAAGAGGCATTAGCCTGCTGCTCCATCAGCCTGGAGAATCCAGCGTTGGTGGACCAACTCACTATTAATTGTGGGGCTTGAACTCAGGGCCTGGGCGCTGTCCTTGAGCTTTCTTGCTCAAGGCTAGGCTCTACCACTTTGAGACCCAGCACCACTTCTGGTTTTCTGGAGGTTAATTGGGGATAAGAGTGTCATGGCCTTTCCTGCCTGGGCGGGCATCAGATCATGATCCTTAGATCTCAGCCTCCTGAGTAGCTAGGATGACAGGCGTGAGCCACCAGCACCTGGCTGAGCTGAGATTTCTTTTTAAAAAATTTATTATCTTTAAGTAGTTGTACAAAGAAGTTCCCATTCTACAAAACAGTATATGAATACCAAGCGTCTGACAACATTGCCCCCCATCGCTCCTAACCCATCCCTTCTCTCACTTTCTTTTCTTCTTTTTTAAACAAATTGTGCTTAGGTGACTATATAAATTTCACAGATTTTACAGTATTGTGGGATAGTGACACTTAGTTAAAAGTCACACACACCTTTTAACCTTCACAAGGCAAATTGTCATTATCATCGTCTATAAAGTCTGTAGAATTCTATGAGCTTTGACAATACAATTACTTCTTCCACATCAGGTGATATTTACATTTCTTTCCTTTTGCTGTTCCCTCTTTCCCTCTCATTCCTCCCTTCCCATCACTGTCTTTGAGTTGCTTAGTTCATTTTCATCTATGTCCAGGGCAGCTGATGGGCTCCTCTGTTGTATGTTTTCCCATTTCCCACTGATTCTGTCCTCCTCCTGGTGTCCCTCTGTTGAGCTCATATATATACCATATATGTGGTCAGAAACATGGAGTCATTTAGCAATGATATGGCAAAATGAGTGATAAGTAGCAGTCCTTTGTTTCTCAAGTCCATTTACTTTGTCATATCTCTGCATTTTGGCTTTAGCATCCACATATTAGGGAGAGTATGTGCCGTTTGTCTCTCTGCTCTTGGCTTACCTCGTGAGCTGAGATATTTTTTTATCGTTCATTGGGCTTGAACTCTGGGCCTGAGCGCTGTCCCTCCACTCTTCAGCTCAAGGTGAGCTCTCTACCACTTGAGTCACAGCGCCACTTCTGGTTTTCTGGTGGTTCATTGGAGATAAGAGGTTCACAGCTTTTCCTGCCCAGGCTGACTTTGAACCATGATCCTCAGATCTCAGCCTCCTGAGTAGCTAGGATTAAGGCGTGAGCCACTGGCACCTGGCAGTGAACTGAGATGTTAATGCCCAGTAGAGCTCACTCTCTTCTCTCCCCTTTCTCCTTCCTCCATTATCTGCCCACCATACAGATCAGATGACTGTGGGTTACACAGGATGAAGAAGACCCAAAAGGCTGTGCAGAAAAAACTGACCTACAGCTTTGGTTCACCATACCCACATCTACCCTGCTCAGCCAGAACCAATTCCACGCTCCTCGCCTAAAAAACCTAGTGGGATAGAGCCAGATATGTTTCAGGACTTTAAGTCCCTTTGGTCTTAAAGCCTGAAACCGCCAAGGTCTTCAATAAAATTGAGTCTAGGCCAGGCACTGGGTGGCTCACGCCTGTAATCCTAGCTACTCAAGAGGCTGAGTTCTGAGGATTAAGGTTTGAAGCCAGCCTGGGCAGGAAACTCTGCGAGACTCTTATCTCTAAACGAACTACTCAGGTGCTGGGAAGGTGGCTCAGTGGTAGAGTGCTTGCCTTGCATGCATGAGGCCCTGGGTTCGATTCCTCAGCACCACATAAGCAGAAAAAGCTGGAAGTGGACCTGTGGCTCAAGCGGTAGAGCTAGCCTTGAGCTGAAGAGCTGAGGGACAGTGCCCAGGCCCAGAGTTCAGGCCCCACGACCGACCAAAAAATAAATAAATAAAAATAAACGAACTACTCAGAAAAAGCTGGAAGTGGTGTTGTGACTCAAGTGGTAGAACGTTAGCCTTGAGCAAAAGAAGTTCAGGAGAGTGCCCAGGCTCTGAGGTCAAGCCCCAGGACTGCTCCCCACGAAAGAAAAAACTGAGTCCAGCTATCCCCTGGCATCAGAAGGCCCCTATCAGGTTTCACCATCACTACACACGTACCTGGCTCTTTCTCAGACAGGTTCACAAGCAGCAAATCGGAGGCCAAGCTAGTTCTCTGCAAACAAATATGCACCTGCTACCAGCCCCAGATCACCTGGGAGCTCAACTCTCCTTCAGTTCTTGGTGTCTCTGAGGCCCCTGGTAGGGCTCTGAATGCAGGTGTAGATCAAAGCCCACCTCTGCCACTGAAGAGCTCTGTGTCCTCACAAAAATGAGCTAATAACATACATACCTTATGAGAGCTGGTTAGATTGTCAGGATTTATGAAGGTAACCTTTAATAAACACAGTGTGTGTGTGTGTGTGTGTGTGTGTGTGTGTGTGTGTGTGTGTGTGTGTGCGTGTGCTGGAATGACAGTGCTTTGGGATCTCTACCTAACACCTCCTGAAATGGAAAGAGGATATTTTTCCCCCCCCTGGGCAGGGTGAGTGTCCCATCTATGCAGCTGCGCCTCAAATCCTGACACCAGTTTAAAATGCCAGCTCTTTCCATACCCCCGCCCTTTGGTTGCCATGGTTATTGCCTGGAGCCTGGCCTCCATCTGGCCAGCCTGCCAGGCCTGAGAGGCCCCCTCACTTGCCTGGGAGGCCTCCTGGGGTCGAAGGCAGGGCTGCCAGGGGCTGTGACTCAGCGTAGGATGTGCAGGGGAGGGCAGGGCCTGAGATGGCACAGAGACATGACTGAGCTGTGTGTGAGGAGGGCGCAGGCTCCAGGAAATACCCCATGTCAGCACGGGGACAGGAAGGAGGCAAGGCGCAGGGAAGCAGGGGCCCAAAGCAGAGAGAGGGAAAGGCCTCTTTGCAAGAAGGGAGGCTTTGAGGAGGTTGAGTGGGTAAAGGAGAAATGGAAAGGACCCCCAACAAGAGGAGCATATAAAGAGGTCCTTAATGAATGATAGCGGGCTGTTCCCACAAAGCAGGCCATTCCAAACGAAGCAACATTAACTCTCAGTCCAACCAGTGCAGTTGCAAACTGTCACTTCTTTTTCTTTTTTAAAGCACAGCCTCATAAATTTGTCACAGCCAGGCTTACGGGTGCCCTAAGCATATGCTTAGTCAGAATTTGGGGCACTCTTTGTCCAAATGGTCACCTACCAATATAACACCAACCACTCCTGGCTTGCCTGCCAGCTGCCAGCTAGCTACACCCCTGGGAACCAAGATCCAGGTCTTCCCTCTGAGGAAGCAGGGCTCAAAGCTGCCTTACAAACCAGAAAAGGCACTGCCTGTGTTTCTTGGGGTTTCCAACTATGAGCTGCCTGCCCCGATTGGTCCCTGGAAGGCTTACCAGGGTAGGACATGGCTGTAGATCTGCCTCTCAGCCAGCAGCCCTGAGCTTTTAGCAAGGAGGAAGCAGAAGCTGGGCCGAGATCTAAGGGGAGGGAGGGATTTCTATTCAAGAGGAGCACACAGGTATCAGAGGTTCGTTTTTGCCCTGGGCTGAGTCTTCTGGCCACATTGAGCAGGGGCATTCATCCAGAGAGCTTTAAGACCAGGAGATGGGTAAATGTGTCCAAAGGCTGGGAGGGAAGCAAGAGGGACTGGGACTGTAGCATTCAGGCCCATCATTCTTGCTATGGGCTTCACAGGGACAACCCAAGGTTTATTCTTGTGGCCTGTGATTTCCTGGCCCCAGCAACCCCCCCAGACCCCCTGTGGGCTTTGCAGGAAACTCCCCAGAATTTCCCGACTTCCTCTCATCTAGCCAATCTGAGTAGTCTGTAAGGCAAGGAAGATCATTCAATGAGAAGATGAACACCAACAGCTGTAGCACAAAGCCAGTAGTCCAGGCGGGAAAGTCTGTGAGATTCTTATCGCCAACAAGCCAGCAAAAAGCTGTGGCTCAAGTGGTACAATGTCAGCTTGGGGTGAAAAAGCCAAGCAGGAGTGTGAGGCTCTGAGTTCAAGCCCCAGTTCTGGTACGAAACAAAAAGAGGCTCAGCACAGCAAGGCCTCAGGCACAGACCCTCCAATCCACGGTGACTACGGCTGCCCAGGTTTCCAGGGAGACAGAGGGGCTGGGCTGGGGGAGATAGCGAAGGGCCTGGGAAGAGCAGGGAGAACTCTCTAAGAGGATCCCTGTCCCTGCCCCAGGCTATTCTCTCCAAAGCTCAGACAGGCTGCGAGTGCCTGGCTCATGTCAGCCCAGCTCAGCCATGTGTATGCTGGGAATGCACCTCATAAAGCCAAGGCAATGCAGACACGTGTTCCCCTCCTGATGTCAACAGATAAAGTACCCGTCGGGCAGACCAAAGCCAAGCTACTGGTGTGGAAGCATCTGTAATTCATTACCCAGGCCAGCGGATGTTTCCAGAACCACCTGATATTGGCATCAAGTAGAAAAGACAGATCTGATTAGAACCTGCCTCTCTGCCTGGCAGATGGCCTGCCCCGCCCCACCATCCTGGACACACATGGGGACAACATGCCATGGGTGTTGTCATTTAATCCTCACCGCTATATCCTCCAGCAGGTACTGGCATTATCTCTATCTTACAGAAGAGGAAACTAGCTCAAAGAGGTCAAATCACAGGTCTTTGGTCTGACAAGGAACTTCACCCATGATGCAGAAGGGGATACAGAGAATTTAAAATCTTCCATGCAGGCTGGGCACTGACGGCTCATGCTTGTAATCCTAGCTACTCAAGAGGCTGAGATCTGAGGATCACAGTTCCACGCTAGCCCAGGTGGGAAAGCCCATGAAACTCTTATCTCCAATTAACCACCAGAAAACTGGAAGTGGTCCTATGGCTCAAGTGGTAGAGCACTGGCCTTGAGCAAAAAGAGCTTAGGGACAGTGCTCAGGCCCTGAGTTCAAGCCCCATGACCACTACCACCAGCAAAAAAGTCTTCCATTCTTTCTCACATTGAGCATGTATCTCCAAGCTTACTAGTCAGGCCAGGGTTCCTCTGACTCCCAGAAGGCCCCACTCAAGTGTCACTGGCACTCAGCCCTCAGGAGTTACTGTTCCACAGCGCACCTGGGCAGGGCCACAACACCTGTGATCCATACCCAGCACAGGGCTGGCACTAAGCCGTTTGTGTGGCACATACAAACCAGTCATAAAGCTGGTCGCCAGGAAGGGATGGTGCCAATGTCAAGAGAAGGGACAGCTGTGATCTACACGGGCTCAAGGATAACCATGCGGCTGCCAAGGCTGGGAAGGGCCTGCCAATAACCCAAGCTGCCCAGCTTAAGCAGGCTGATGGGGAGAGGGGGGACACCAGGCCTCTTTGCCCTGAGGGTTCCCCAGGGTGCCGAGAGAAGCACATAGCACCGTATCTAGAGGCAAAAGCCACACGGTTATGTCTTGCCAAGGGCTTCCAGAAGTCTCTCTACCCCTTAGACCAGCAGGCTTTGCAGTCCATTGAGGACTTCCTTTCTGACTCAGTCCTACAGGCAACTCAGAGGCTGGTCTACTAGCAACAATTTCCAAAGCATCTACTGTGTGGGCATCTGGCTCCCCCTCTTTAGACCCTCTTAGAGGGTCCTTTATAAGAAATGAAAAGCTGGGCAATGGTGATTCATGCTTAGAATCCTAGCTATCAGGAGGCTGAGATATGAGGGTTGCTGTTCAAAGCCAGCCTGGGCAGAAAAGTCTATGAGACTCTTTATCTCCAATAAATTACAGAAGAAAAAAAAAAAAGCAGGAAGTGGCACTGTGGTTCAAGTGGTAAAGTGCTAGCCTTGAGCAAAAGAAGCTCAGGAACAATGCGTTGGCCCTGAGTTCAAGCTCCAGGACTGGCAAAAAGACAAAAAGAAAAAAGACAAATGAAGATCCAAGGATGGAGGTGCATGCAGCCCCCTTCCTTGTCCTCTGCCTCAACAGCGCCCCCAGCCTGGTGATTTGGCTCACCTCACCACAGGCTCTGGAATAGCTTCGGCCCCAGCAGGAACTTGCACACCTTTCTCCCATTCCTGTCGCCATGGGTCCGCCAGGATGTAATAATCATCTGGGCTGAGCTGGTATGAATCTGGGATCTTCATAGCTGTAATCAAGTCGGTCCGGAAAACCTGGCAAGGGGAGAGAGGGGCAGGAATGGAGTCAGGGTAACCTGCTCCACAGGCCAGCGAAGAGGCAGAGGAACACAACACACGTGAGCCTTCTGTCTGCTCTCTTATAAATGCAACAAACGCAGTAAGAATAATGCGAGCAGGGCACCAGTGGCTCATACCTGTAATCCTAGCTACTCAGGATGCTAAGATCTGAGGATTGCTCTTCAAAGCTAGCCCAAGCTGGAAAGTCCATGAGGTTCTTATCTCCAATTAGCTAGCAAAAAGCCATAAGTAGAGCTGTGGCTCAAGTGGTAGAGCACTCAGCTTTGAGCAAAAAAGCTAAAGGACAGTACCAAAGCCCTGAGTTCAAGTGTTTGTATTGGCACTGGCATACACACACACACACACACACACACACACTCCAAAAATTGTGACAAACTTAATTCATGTTGTTTTGACTCACTGAAGTACAAGTTACAAGAAGAGAGAGATGGGCTGGGAAGGTGGCTCAGTGGTAGAGCGCTTGCCTTGCATGCATGAGGCCCTGGGTTCAATTCCTCAGCACCACATAAGCAGGAAAAGCCAGAAGTGGCGCTGTGGCTCAAATGATAGTGCTAGCCTTGAACTGAAGAGTTGAGGGATAGTGCCTAGGTCCAGAGTTCAAGCCCCACGACTGACAAAAAAGGAGAAGGAGAAGGAGAAGAAGAGAGAGATGGAAATGGACCTGAGAGAAAAGGGTAGGGGCTGGCGGAGAAAAAAAAAGCAGCAGCAGCAAAAAGACAAAAAAAAAAAAAAAAAAAATCAAAGGGCAGAAAGGCTTCTGTGAATGTAATACTAACAGTATGTGACTGTTTAGGGAATCACTAGGGGAAGTTTAAATCGTGTTATGGATTCACACTAGATAAATCTTAATGCTGGGGTGTGGGGGAGGGGCGTTGGCCTTCCCCAGGCTCCCGTCTATCAGATTCAGCACAAACGTCTGCCATCAGGGGGCGTCATTACTGACTGTGTGCAACCTGCTGGAACCCAGGACCGTGTGGGCAGCAGCTGAATGGGTGCACCGGGTGGGCCTAAAGGCAGCAACCTGCAGAATCTAATTACTGTCTGCCTCTAGCTGGGGAAGGCCCTGGCTTGAAAAAGGTCAAGTTTCTTGAAGACTCTATTTGCCAATATAATTTAATTGTTAAGACTAACACCCTAACATTTAATTAGGGTGCCAGTGTGAAAAAAATTAAAATCAGATTACGATTAAATGTTAATTAAACAGAAGATGGAATGTGGTGAAGATTTCACAGCCCTGATAATTTGCATATGTTATTAGCAAGCAGGAAGACGGCTAATGGGAGAGTGTAAACTCAAGCAACCCACACTCTTAGGCACCGCATGCTTTTGGGGGTGTTTATAAAAGCAGCTGCCTTTGCTGACAGAGACCTCTTCTCACAGAGGCCTCTGGAGATTCTGCCATAATCAGCAGAGCAAGGGACAATATTAGTGCCCTAGGGGTACTCAGCACAGAATTTGGCAAACCTAGGATCTAAGCTGACCCCCAAAAGTGATTTAGGATGGTTGCTCTGAGCTGGAGTTTGTCTACCTGAGACAAAGCTGTTAGCTAACCTTCTATGAGCACCTAGAGGATACTTCTCTAAAGAGGCCTGGATGTGGGTGGTTACAACCTGCTTGTAATCCCTTGTACAATCTTCTTGTAATCCTGATTGTACACCCTTGTACTAGGCTGTTCCTTAATGGTGGCCTCTGGGAAGACCCTTTCTGATCACTGGCTAAGGGAATGTCTACCAGAGCCACTTCTCATTTTATCTCTTTGCTTCACTTTATACCTATTATTTTTGGGAGTGGTCCTGTGTTATTGTTTTTTTTTAACTTGATTTCTTTTTTTAAAAAATCGTTATTATGGGGCTGGGAAGGTGGCTCAGTGGTAGAGCACTTGCCTTGCATGCTCGAGGCCCTGGGTTCGATTCCTCAGCACCACATAAGCAAAAAGAAAAAAGCCAGAAGTGGCACTGTGGCTCAAGTGGTAGAATGCTAGCCTTGAGCTGAAGAGCTGAGGGACAGCGCCCAGGCCCAGAGTTCAGGCCCCACGACTGGACCCCCCCCCAAAAAAAATCGTTATTATAAAGGTGATGTTCTAAGGGGTTACAGTTTTGTAAGTCAGGTAAAGAGTGCATTTCTTTTGGGTCCTGGGGTTTTGAACCAGGGGATGATGGTTTTTAGGCAGGTACTCCACTTGAGCCACGCTCTTCAGCCCTTTGTGGCATACTTTTCAAGAGGGATCTGGCAGTGTTGTTGGTTTGCCTGGGACCTGCTTCAGATGACAATCCTCCCCCCCTCCCCACAGAGCTGGGGTGACAGGCTTAGACCTACCACACCCAGATCCTTGGTTGAGATGGAGGGTCTCCCTAAAAACTCAAGGTCTACACGGTAGAAGAAGCAGAGTGGACCAGGACAACATCCTGAGCCATCCAGCCCTCCCCCACAGCCTCGCCACCCAATGACTTGTCACAGAAGCCAGATCAGGTGGATTTCCCCAAGGGAGGGCCTTCCAGGCCTGTGACCACATATATGTACCTATGTCTGACCTCTCTCCCAAGAACCCCTGAGCCTCCCACCCAGAAAACCCAGCCCCAGGTGACGCTCTCCTGGGAAGTGTTGCTCAACACCAGCTTCTGGGCTTTAACTGAACTACCATGGCCCTTACGTTAAAATCTCCTGGTTTTCTGCCAGGTCTTCCTCCTCCAGGTGAGCTCAACCTGGCACAGCCAAGGTGCTAACAAATGTTGTATGACTCAAGATCCTTCCACAGATCAGACTCTTGGACTGCTACCCAAGGCCCTAAGTGAGCAGCTGGGGACTCCATTACCTTCCAAAGTAGTCTGTCCATTTCTACAAAACCTGTCCACAGACAAGGCACCTACACATCTGTTCTGAATTACTGAGAGTTAGGCTTGGAAAAGGCTAACTCTTCTAAAACTCCTAAAACACTTAAAGAAAGCGTAAAATGGACACTGAAGAATGGGATTCTTGCTGCAGCAAGGAAGTTAGGAGCTGGAGAGCAGCAATTTTCCTAGAATGTGAATGGTTACTACTTTTCTCTTTTAGCCAAAATTGACAAATCATCTTTCAAGGGTTTTGCTGCCTAGCAACCAAGTTGTACTGAGCTACTTGGGAGATATTAATTGCAGCTTCCTCAAACAGTGTAAAAGATGTTTAAAGGCCTCAAACTCTTATTTAATAATCAACCTGAGTGCTGGGGGTGCCCCATCACCCTGGACAAGGGGGGAGACCCTCTGATGCTCAGATGTGTCACCCAGGAATATACTACATGACCCTGACTGGCTGCTCCTTTTCCTGTCACCAAAGACAACAATGATCTGAAAGTTTAGCTTTTTATACCTGTTTCCCCAGGAAGAGCTGAAAGCAAGCAGTTTAATAAAGCCTAAGTAACATCTCAGTGACTTCCAAAAGCAAATAATGACAACGGGTAACTTCTGCTGACACGGGCCAGGAGTTCCAGGACACTGTAGTGATTTATGGCTGCCATTTGAACATTTCATCCTGGAACCTTGGTTCTTCGCTTCCTTAAGAAATGAATTACTAGCTAGGCGCCGGTAGCACATGCCTTTCAGCCTAGTTACTTAGGAGGCTGAGATCTGAGGATCATGGTTTGAAGCCAGCATGAACAGGAAAGTCTGTGAGACTCCAATTAATCACAGAAAAAGCCAGCAGTGGAACTGTGGCTCAAGTGGTAAAGCACTAGGCCTTAAGCAAAGAACTCAGGCCCTTTGTACATCATCTTTATGATAACAATTTAAAAAAAAAAAAAAGAAAAGAGCTCAGGCTCAGATTTCTAGCTCCAGGACCAGCAAAAAATAATAACAAAAGAAGAACTGAATCACTGCAGGGTACCAGTGACTCACATGCCTGTAGTTCTACTCAGAAAGCTGAGATCTGAGGATTGCAGTTCAAAGCCAACCAGGGATTGAAGAGTCCATGAGACTCATCTCCAGTTAACCACATACACACACACACACACACACACACACACACACACACACACACATGCACACACACACACAGAGCTAAAAGAAGACCTATGGTTCAAGTGATAGAGCATAAACCCTATGATAAAGAATATCTCACTCCAAAGCAAATGTACAGTTAAAATTAAGTGCAAACACCAAAGAAGGCCTCTTGGAAAAGTCACCCGCTACCTAGCCATATTTCAAGCTACTACGAGGTTAAGTTGGTTTTATTTATTTAAAAAGAATAATAACTTAAAAATCCACTCAACATTTCTTTCTCTTATTTTCCTAAGGATAACATCACTTCCTGCTCTTAAAAGAGAATTTATTACGCACATTTCTTTTGCAAGACAAGTCCCAGAGGCCAGAGGCCCTCCCTTCCAGCTGGCGGAGCAGCAAAGCTCCCGACAATACTGAAAGTGGATCTCACACTCACACACATACACACACACACTCCAGAGTGACGCTCAGAATGCAGGTGCCTGGCCCAGCGGAAGGCTTCTCCCCTCTTCCCCGTGGCCTGCTAGGAGGTCTGGAAACCTAACTTAAACCACAGGGCAGGCCCAGAACCTGTGTGGGGTTCTCCTGTGTTCTCCGAACTTTTGAGAGCATTTTGCATAGTACTACAACAGATATCACCCTTGTTTTAATATACACTAGGTTACTCCAAACTTCTGGGAAATATCTCTGCTCCTCCTCTGCTGCTTTTTAGTTATTTATTAGAGAGGATTACTGCGTTGCGGTTTTTTGCCAGACCAGCTTCACACTGTGATCTTCCTATTTCCCCCAGCCTAGAATCACAGGAGTGTGCAACCATGCCTTATGGCAGGCTTAAGACCCTCCCACACCTACTGTTTTTTGTGCTAGTACTAGGGTTTGAATTCAGGGCCTGGGCGCTGTCCCTCAGCCTTTTCGGCTCTACCACTTGAGCCACAGCTCTACTTCTGGCTTTTTACTGGTGATTTGGACATAAGGGTGCCCTGGACTTTCCTGTCTCAGCTGGCTGTGAACGGCAATCCTCAGATCTCAGCCTCCTGAGTAGGTAGGATTACAGGTATAAGCCACCAGTGCCCAGCTAGGAACACATTCTTAAAGACTGGAACAAGTTGCTGTACCTTTACTGCCACTAGAGTCAGGCAGGGGAGAGGGGAAGGGCGTCCTCATACAGGAACTTCAGAGGCCAGTGGGTTTGGGGACATCCCTTGCTCAAAGCAGAAGTTGTTTTCTCAGGCCCTGTCCCTGAGGATATTCTGTCCCTGGTCATCTGGAAAGGGCTCCTGGGCAACATGCAAAGGCCCCATTTCTTCCTCTAGGTCCACGCTGATTTGTCACCAAGGGTTACAAAACAGGTGACCACTGGATCCCAATGCCCACGCCCTTCTTATTCTGGGACCTCCTTATTCTCAGGAATGGCTTGTTTACTTGACACCCCCAAAACCCTGGCTCCCTTCACTTTTGGCTGCCCCATCCCCAGGTTGCTTGGATCCCAGGGAAAGGATCTCCGGAGTAGGGTCCACAGAGGACTCTACAGATAATGATCCTGAGGTGAAGAAAGAGAAGTATCACTTGCCAAGAGTCAGAGTTCCTTGGTGGCTAAGCCAGGGCCCTTAGGCAAAGCAGGCTGCATCTCCCATAACCGACACTTCCCTGCGCAAGCACCTGCATCCTGCTGACAGCCAAGAGGACAAGCTCCCCAGGGATAGGGCCTGTGCTTGCTTTCCTCTGGCACTGGCCAGCACTGGCCTCCTAGGGCTTGCTGATCTCATTCAGTGCCAACAGTAGCACTGGGGTCCACATGTGCTCTCTGGCTTCGCTTCCGGGGATGATGACTTCATGAAAATACTGATTTCTACATCTCCAGCCAGCCTGCCGGGGGAAATCCCCACTGCTTGCTCTGTGTTTCCTGCTTCTCAGTCTACCCCCAGGCCTGAGGAAGACACAGCCTCCAATACAAACCACAGGGCTGGCTTCCAGTCTCTAAGGTCTCTTCCCCAACCGTCCTTCACACCTGGTAGAAGCATGTCGGTTTCTGAGCACCAGTGAGGAGAAGAGCTGGAGACTGTGACCACCTACCTACACACTAGGGCCAAGCCTGAAGTTCCAGAACCAGGCTGGAGAACCCCAGTCACTTCAAGGTAGCCACAGCTTGTACTATCCCTCCCCCACCCCCAACCAAGAAGCTTCTGGGGAGCAATAAGCCAGGAACTCCTAACTTAGGCAAATGGAGGGGATGTCTGCAGCTGAAGCTCTAACCCAGGCCCCCAGCCAGAAGGTTTCTATTTATTTAAGTACTGGTACCTCCGTCTGCCCCAGACCACTTAAAACCAGTGGGGATGGATGGAAGATTGTTTCTAGCAAGTGCAAGAGTTATCTCCAATCAGACAGCTTCTCCGAGGTGAGATCCACAAAGACCAAAGGCTAGGTTATCAGGCAAGACAGGCCCAGCCCACTTCATAGGCTCCAGCAGAATTGACACAATAATGCCAACAAAGCACAACAAGGGCTCTCTAGGCAGAGCTCCTCCAAGCAGAGGAAGGATGCACGCTGTGACCCGGGCTCCATTCCTTTCACTGCTCAAGGAGATCCTGGGGGAAGATTTTAGAGTTTTATGGGTGTCACCAAAATCCCAACCCAGATTCCTAGTATCCTAGAGCCATCCCTTCGCGGTACTCCAGGTTAAGGGCTAGATGGGAAGCTGGGCCAGAGGACCCCAGCCCTGTCCAGGGTCCTGACTCCTGGTCAGTACTTTCTTCAGCCCAGGGACACTTCACTCTGTGTTCAAGGAACCACCTGTTAGACACATTGGTCTGTACTGGGAATGGTGTCTGCCTTGTTTAAAGCCCCAGCCCCAGACATGTTAATAGTGGTTGGGGAATGGGAGGCTGAGTGACCACTGTCAGTGTGATGCTGAACACTTGCATCCTTAAATTCCCTACCCCACCCAGGCTGCAGTGGCTCATACCTGTCATCCTAGCTATTCAGGAGGCTGAGATTTGAGGATCATGGTTCAAAGCCAGCCTCAGCAGGAAAGTCTGTGATACCTTTATCTCCAAAGAATTACCAAAAAAGCCATAAGGTGCTGGGCAAATGGGTTCCAAGAATGCTCCTTCTGCCAGGATGCCCTATGCCCTCTCAGACCCCAGTGACCAGCAAGGTCCCCTTCCCTCTTCCAGCCCATTCACAGAAGAGCACACAGCAGACCAGAGAGCAGACTGAGTGCCAACAGTTTCGACAGCCAAGTCTTTGCTTTCCTCTCCACCCTCTTGTGAGCCAAATATTTTGGAAGCTTTCACTAACAGCTTCTTCTCTACCCCACCATAACTCAGAATTTATGCCGGCCACAGCTCAACCTTCTCATTTAGAGGGTGAGGGAAACCTCACAGGTTGCTCTTTGGCTGGCTATGCGAAGAAGAGCTTGTCCTTGGCCAGGGTTCAAGGGAGGGAAGACTCCTCAGCCCTCTAGGAGCCCAAAGCTGGGAGGAGGAAGGGGAAGGGAGAAGAGGAATGCTTCTAGGTAAGAACTCACAGCCACCTTCAGAGTCTCTGGGTGTTGGCCTGGGCCTATAAAGCCAGTCCCCAGTAGGGCCCTTACCCACAATTCCACTCTATTTTTAGGCACAAAGGCCTTGGGCTGGAAAACCCAAGAGGCAGGGGAATTTTCTGCTCTATGCAAATTGTTCTTTCTGTTCAGCGTTGGCTGACACCTGTTTCCTCCCAGTCAGGCCTGTGATCCTGGGTATAGACAGCCTCCCTGCCTGCCCTCTCCTCCTCCCCCCCACCCCCCCAACTAATTGGGACCTGGATGGAGAGAACAGGACAGGGGAAGGGACCCGTTTTAACTGAGCTTAGCATCAAATGAAGGAGCCAGCCCTAGAGTTCCCTACCCACCGCCCCCACCTCTACTCCCAACTGAACAGCCCTAGAGGGAGTAGGCAGGATTCTGTGGGGATCCTCAGTTTTCCAATGGGCACAATAGCACCTGCCACTCAGGACTACATATATGTTTATCTTATTTTACTTATTTTAATTTTTGCTGCTCCTAGGGCTTAAACTCAGGATCTGGGAGCTACCCCTAAGCTTCTTTTGCTCAAGGCTAGAACTCTACTAATTGAGCCACAGCTCTACTTCCTACTTTTTTTTTTTTTGCCAGTCTTGGGACTTGGAACTCAGAGCAAACTTTGTTTGCTCAAGGCTAGCACTCTACCACTTGAGCTACAGCACACTTCTAGCCTTTTCTGATTATATGATACTAAGGAATTGAACCCAGGGTTTCATGCATGCTAGGCAAGCGCTCAACCACTAAGCCACATTTCCAGTCCTTCCCACTTTTTTTTTTTTTTTTTTGTCGGTCGTGGGGCTTGAACTCTGAGCCTGGGCGCTGTCCTTCAGCTCTTCAGCTCAAGGCGAGCGCTCTACCACTTGAGCTACAGCGCCACTTCCGGTTTTCTGGTGGTTTATTGGAGATAGGAGTCTCACGGTCTCTCCTGTCCGGGCTGGCTTTGAACCGCGATCCTCAGATTTCAGCCTCTTGAGTAGCTAGGATTACAGGCGTGAGCCACCAGCGCCCGGCCCTTCCCACTTTTTTATATAGTTAATTGGAGGTAAAAGTCTCATGGACTTTCCTGCTTGGGCTGACTTTGACCAGCAATCCTCAGATATCTCAGCCTCCTGCGTAGCTAGGATTGCTAGCTTTGAGCCACTGGTGCCTGGCAAGAGGAACTTTTTATTATAGTACCCGATTGTGTCATCTGGCCTACCATCCTTGAAAGGCCCCTCTCAAATCAACAGGATCAGCTTTCCAACAACTTACCAAGTGCAGGTAAACTGCCCTACAGCCACCACCATCTCCCCAACACACTGCGGTGTCAGCCCCCTCCCCGGAATGCTGTCTCCCTATGTCTGACTATCTTGGTATCAGGCCATACCTGGGACTAAGACAACCCAATTCTTCCTCCACTTAAACATAACTGTCTGTCACAGAGCGCTGGTGGCTGACGCTTGTAATCCTAGCTGCTCAGAAGGCTGTGATCTGAGCATCATGGTTGGAAGCTAGCCAGGGCAGGAAAACACCATGAGACTCTTATCTCCAGTTAACTACTCAGAAGCTCAAGGACAGCACTTGGGCCCCGAGTTCAAGCCCCAGGACCAGCAAAAAAAAAAAAAAAAAGCTCCAAAAAACAAACACACAAATGTCTGTACCCCTCCTCTCCCAATGGACTGAATGCTTCCTTTGTCCCTTCCCATGGTACACTTCTCTGTGTTAATCTTTCTCTGCCCTTCACCACTACTCTTTACTTGGAATTCTAGGGTGACCTTTAAAACATGTGGAACCCTTGCAGTTAGGCCTACTGTCCTAGACCTCCAGACCACAGGTGTCAGCTCCAGGCACCTCTTCTGGAGGCTCCTCACTACCCACCTCGGAAGGCTTCTTCTCGTTCTGCCGGGGCCAGCCCGACTTGGTACTGCTGGGCAACTTGGAGCATCTTGAGGCTGATGCAGACACGGATGCAGATGCTGATGCAGATGTAGCATGACCTGCAGACAGAAATGAGCTTGTAAGGCAAATTAGAAGGCCAGGAACACCACTCACCAAGTGTAGTTTGCCTCTAAGCTGTGGAATGCATGATCAGGAGGTGGAGGCCTCTCTAAGCAATGTCCAATGATAATGGGAGACACAACGCTTCTCTCTTCCACTCACCAACTCCTGGGGTGGTTTTCAGGGGTCTGTGTTAGCTTACTATGTGGCCCAGACAAATCCTGGCCCTTTTGGGAGCGCTGCTTGCTCCTAAGTTAAGAGTAGAACAAGTTTCAGGCATGCTCCACGTAAAGAACATCACCAGAGTCTGGGAGGATTCCAGGAGGGTGCAAAGGCAGGGAGCCAAGAGCAATGGGAAGTGTTGCTCTGAAGTAGATGCAGAAACTACCAGGCTCGGGGCTGGGAAGATGGCTCAGTGGTAGAGCACTTGCCTTGCATGCATGAGGCCCTGGGGTCGATTTCTTAGCACCACATAAACAGAAAAAGCCAGAAGTGGCGCTGTGGCTCAAGTGGTAGAGTGCTAGCCTTGAGCTGAAGAGCTGAGGGACAGCGCCCAGGCCCAGAGTTCAGGCTCCACCACCAGACCACCCCCCCCCCCGAAAAAAAAAAAGAAAAAAAAAAAGAAACTACCAGGCTCTATATCCGACCCAGTATCTTATGAATATATCACCATAGGGTTAATAGGATTCTGTAATACAGTCTTCTATGTAGCCTGGGCTAGACAAGATCCTCCTGCGTCTACTTACTGAGGGCTGAGATCAAGCCTCAGTTTGCGTTTGTTTGTTTCTTTCTTTCTTTCTTCCTTCCTTCCTTCCTTTCTTTTTTTCTTGTCAGTTATGGACTTGAACTCTGGGCCTGGGCACTATCCCTGAGCTCTTTTGCTGAAAGCTAGTACTCTACCACTTTGAGTCACTGTGCCACTTCTGCTTTCCTGGTGGTTAACTGGAGACAAAAGTCTCATAGACTATCCTGCCTGAGCTAGCTTTGAACGGTACTCCTCAGATCTCAGCTTCCTAACTAGCTAGGATTACAGGCCTGAGCCATGACCACCTGGCTAGTTTTTCTATAAAATTACAGTTCTATGGTTTAGATAAATGCCCCCTAAAAGGTCCATGTGTTAAAGATTTGGCCCCCTGAATGGCACTATAAGGTGTCCCATGCGTTTTTAGGACAGAGAGCCTTATGGGAGATCTTGAGGTTATTGGGGCCAATCTAATCATGGACTGAAATCTCCCAACCTGTAAGCTAAGGAAACCTTAATGATAATTATCTCATATATTTGGTTGTAGTTACATGAATTGACTAAAGGGACAAGGATGAACTGTCTTGAAAGGGCGGCTTAAATGTACTATGTTCATAAAATCTTAACATGGCCGGGCGCTGGTGGCTCATGCCTGTAATCCTAGCTACTCAGGAGGCTGAGATCTGAGGATCGTGGTTCAAAGCCAGCCCGGGCAGGAGAGACCGTGAGACTCCTATCTCCAATAAACCACCAGAAAACTGGAAGTGGCGCTGTAGCTCAAGTGGTAGAGCGCTATCTTTGAGCTGAAGAGCTGAGGGACAGCGCCCAGGCCCAGAGTTCAAGCCCCACGACCGACAAAAAATAAATAAATAAATTTAAAAAATAAATAAATAAAATCTTAACATGGTCTCTGGCATATAACAATTACTCAACACCAATAGTTAGTCTTGAGGCCCCTGCTAGACTAACTACAGGACTGTAGGGAGACCCAATGTGACAGTGGTAGAGACTGGTAGGGAAAGGCCAGAGTTCAGATGCCCAGATGCCCCCTTCCCGGCCTTGCAGCTGCCTGGCCCTTTCCTGAACTGAAGTTAGAAGTGGAGGGCATAGCTATTCAGTCTCGGAAGCCAGGCCGTGAGCATGTAGCCAAAGAAGGATGATATGCTATAGGAAGGATGGGCTGGCCAGGTTGAATGAACATCAGAGGAAAACCAAGGCATAGGTGAATGAGGGTAGGGGAAGGGATGAACCGTCTGTCTCTTGAGGGATTGTGCAACTTTTGAGAACCAGGGTAAGGAAGAGCCCTCACTAATTGGGCTGGGAAGGTGGCTCAGTGGTAGAACGCTTGCCTTGCATGCCTGAGGCCCTGGGTTCGATTCCTCAGCACCACATAAGCAAAAAGAAAAAAGCCGGAAGTGGTGCTGTGGCTCAAGTGGTAGAGCGCTAGCCTTGAGCTGAAGAGCTGAGGGACAGCGCCCAGGCCCAGAGTTCAGGCCCCATGACAGGACCCCCTCCCCCATAAAAAACAAATGCCACAAATTCACCATCTGCATGAACATGTCTGTAGGCACAGGGCTCCAGACCTGGTCTCCCCACTAGTATAGCTTCTTCTTTAGCCTTGGCCTCCTGCAAGGCAGTCACTGTGAGGTGAGATTGTCTTTGGCAGACTATTCCTCCCACCCATGGCAGACAGAACTCCTCAGACACAGGCAGGCCTGGCTTCCTGGGCCATTGAAGAACAGCTACTTTATGACTTCATCTCCCTTCCTTCTGAATTTCAGAGGAGGCTCCCTAAACCCATTTTCTCCTAGATAACAACCCCCTACCACCAAGCGAAATTCACCTGGCACACCTATCCCAGACATAGTGTAATTCTAAGATTCTATTGATTAGATCCCATGAAGGTTGAAGTTCTTCCTTCAGTCAGCACTGACAAAGCACCTAGTGTGTGCCGGAGTGTAGCTAGGGACACAGCACTGAGCAAGACGTAACTCATCAGGGGAGTTTACCACTGGCTAGGAAATGATACCTATCAGGTAATTATAATAGTGACAAAGCTTTGCATTGATACTATAGGAATTTTCCAGAAGGGCCCTGACTCAAAAGAAAAGCCAGAGGGACTTTTTCTTCTTACATTTCTTATGAGCAGCAAATAAAAGGTCCTTAAAGGGGCCAAGCAAGACCTAGAGAGTAGAGTGAGTATGAGAAAGGGGACAGCCAAGGCCTTGGAGGCCATTGTAAGGGCAAATGCTAGCACTCAGGAACAAAGGGGCTCGCCTTGATTTATGTTTTTTGTCAGCATAGCCCTGGGTTGAGTTAAGACCATAGGGCAGCCTCCTTCCACCCTGGCTCTGGACCTGGAAACTATTCCAATGCTTTTCCAAGTGAAAGGGACTTACTGTCAGTGGTGTCCGAGTTGTCGCTGCTGATGGAGTATTTTCGCCTCTTCTCTTCCATCTGTAACGAAAGGTAATACAGGCTCACTATATTCGTGGAAGGCTTGGGAAATCCTCAAGCTCTCAGAAAAAGACTTCCATTCTCTACCTCTCCACACTCCACGAAAGACAAGACTCATCCTACCTGTCTCACCTGCTTCCTACCCCACCACCCACAGAGGCCCTATGGTGGGAAGAGGGTCCAAGGTAGTTCATCGAGGTTGAGGTACAATCCTAGGCAGCTGGCTATGGAAGTAGGGCTATTTTCCTATCTGCCACTGTCTTTGCCCAGATCAAGTACAAACCCAGGGTATCTCAATTGGACTATCTAACTTCCAAGTCCCTGAGTAGTTCTTTTGCACGGCCCTTTATCCACTCTGTCTTGGTGAGCTGTGAGCTATAAGCTCCTTTTATAGGTGAAGCTGTGACTTGTCCTACAAGGAACTGGCTCACCAGAGATTTGAACCCATGGTCTGAGGTCTGATCTGTGAACCTACACTGAACTGCCTTTTGTGCAATCCATTAGCTGCATGCAGTCCATTAGAAAACTTTGCCCATACTTTAATTTCTTCTAATCCTGGGAGCAGAGCCTGCTCTTGTTTGCTTGGAGGGGAGCAGGCAGAGTGGCTTGATAACCTGCTCAGGGTCACACGGCTGGTCTGTAGTCAAGTTCAAGTGAGATGGATTGCATTGCAGCTTCCACATGTTCCTGCAGGGCCCAGAATGGCCTCGTTGCTCATAACCAAACACAGAGAGCCAGTCCCTGTCTTTTGGAGAAAGCCTTCAGTCTAGCCCATCTGCCAGCTATTACCGGCTGCTGCTATCCCTTAGTCTTTTCCTGTTAAGCTCTGGAGTGCCCCTATCTTGTGTGTATATGTGTGTGTGTGTGTGTGTGTGTGTGTGTGTGCGCGCACGCGCACGTTTGCCATCCTGGGGCTTGAACTTGGGACCTGAGTGCTGTCCCTGAGCTTTTGTGCTTGAGGCTAGTACTCCACCACTTGAGTCACAACTCCATTTCTGGCTTTTTGTTGGTTCATTGGAGATAAGGATCTCAGAGACTTTTCTACCTGGGCTGGTTTTGACTTGCAGCCCTCAGATCTCAGCTTCCTGCATGGCTAGTGTTGCAGGTGTGAGACACCAGTGACCAGTACCCCTATCTTGCTCCAGCCCAGCAGAAACCAGGAAGCATTTGTTCATGGAACTGGGGCAAAGAAACCCACATCTCTGGAGCAGACCTGGATAATGCCCCTGTCTGGAACCTGCCTTAACTATGAGCTTCTCAGTACTCCAACAGCAGGAAGGCTCATCAGGGCTGATGGCTTGCTATACAATTTCAGAGGTATGCAGTGCTCTGCAGAGGGTGACAGACTGAAGGGCAGCTGTCAAGAGTAAGCAACTCAGGTGCCACTGCAGAAACAGAGATAGCACAGGCTCTCAGGCACTCACTGCCAGCTGGGCACTGGTGGCTACACTAGCTACTCAGGAGGCTGAGATCTGAGGATGGAGGTGTGAGGCCAGCATGGATAGGAAAATTGGAGAGGCTCCTCAGCTAACTAGCAAAAAGCCTGAAGTAGAGCTGAAGTGGTAGAACAACAACAAACAAACAAACAAAAACCACGAAAAGACAGTGCCTAAGTTTTGAGTTCAAACCCCAGTATAGGCACAAAAGAATACCAAACAAAATATATGCACAAGCACACACACATACAAACACACACACACACACACACACACACACACACACACACACACACACCCCTTTTACCAAGGGAGATTTTGTGGTAGTTTAGTTGGAATAATAGGTAGGCTATGAGGGAACACACCATTGTATGAACAAAGCTTTCTTCTTTTGAAGTAAAGTCCATTCTGAAGGCTTCCTTTGGCCCACCCCCCCAAGCTGGCCAATGAAGCCTGAAAGAATCCTAGGTCCTCTGTGAGGCTACCCTTTGCTCCACAAGTTACCTCCTGAACCCAAAGCAGACAGGAGGACTCACTGACCCAAGTCCAACTCCAAGGCTGCCATGCAAATAGTCAGGATGAGGAGGCTGAGACTTCACCTTGGCCTCTGATTTTTCCCTATCAGTCCTCCAATTTCCATCAAGGCAAAGATCTCTTCTGGGAGATGACCTCAAACAAGGCACTTAACTTTGCAAAGACAGAAAGTAGTCCTAAAATCATTACTATAATGATTCAAGAAAGGAAGGGTCTTGTTTGTTTTTGCTGGTCCTGGGGCTTGATCTCAGGGCCTGGACTCTGTCGTTTAGCTTTTCTGCTCAAGGCTAGCACTCCACCACTTGAGCCACACTTGAGCCACTTCTGGCTTTATTTGTTGGTTTATTGGAGATAAGAGTTGCATGCACTTTTTCCTGTCTGGGCTGGTGTTGAGCTCCAATCCTCAGATCTCAGCTTCCTAAGTAGTTAGGATTACAGGCATGAGCCACAGGTACCTGGCTAGGAAGAATCTTCTTTTGCTGCCAATCGTATCAGTAATTTGCAGGCCCCTTAAGCCGCCCCTCCCACCCCCAGCATGGAGAAACTCATCTTGGGGGCTGGGCTATGAGGGCTCACCTTTCAGAACGTATGGCTTTGTCTAACTCTACTGACCCACACCTGCCCTCATACCTCATACCTAATACCCCAGCCCATCTCCTTTCTGCTTGGACCCCATGTTCATTGCCTGGCTTGCACTATTACTCTCCCGTAATCCAGGGCTCCACAGGTAGGCCCAAGGGATGTTTAAAAAACATAAATCAGATCACATCGTGGCCCCACAGAAACTCTTTCAAAGGCTTCCTGCTGATCAAAGGACAAATCTTGAAGTCTTGACCACAAGAGCCAGCAGAGCCCAGCTTTTGCCCACTTTGACTAGTGTGTATTGACCACTAGTGCCTTCCTCACTGCTTTCCAGCTACAATGGCATCTTTCACTTCCTCCCACAAGCCTAAGACATCCCATGTTTGGAGACCTGGGCACCAGTTTGTTGGCCTGCAGTGTTCTTTTATGTGGTCTATTGAGTTTCTGACTGTGCAATCTTCAAGGCTGGGCTTCAACATCATGTATGTTCATTTTTACCCATCACTCTATCTAAAGAAATTCATCAAGCCCGGAGCTGGTGGCTTACACCTGCAATCTTAGCTACTCAGGAGGCTGAGCCCTGAGAAGATCCAAGTTCGCAGCCAGCCTCGGTAGAAAGGTCTAGGAGAGTCTTATCTCCTCCTAAACAGTAAAAAGCCATCTGTAGAGCTCAAGTGATAGAGTGCTAGTTTTGAGTGAAAGAGCTAAGAAACAATGCCCAGGCCCTGAGTTCAAAGCCCAGCATTGGCACAAACAGAAAAAAGAAAGAAAGAAAACAGAAATTCACCACCCTGCAGAATTGCAGTGAGCTACTTGTTGACTGCTCCTCCCCTTGGGAGTGGGGAAGAAGCAAGTCTGGCTAAATGTCCCAGCAACCTCTAACCTTGCACTCAGTACACAATAGGAAGTGCTGGTGTGTTCTTGTCTATAGCCCAGCTGGCCTGCCTGTGGCTGGCAGGAACAAACACCCCAGTCCAGGATTCCGTGCTGTTTTCACAGCCTGCCTTCCCCATCTTGACCTCACACATTCTCCAGGAGGCTTTATTTGGCTGGGCTCCTGGCTAATGATCAATGTCAACTCAGTAATAGGGCAGCCAATTTGGTGGCAGATGTTTTCTTGGCAACACTAGCCACTGGGTCTTTGTGGGGGCCTCAGGTCTGGCCTTGAACACCACTGGCCAATGCCAGCCCCCTTTAAAGACCTCTCTGTAAATAAACTCAAATAAACACCCTGGGCCTCCATTAACGCCCCTCCATCTGACCCTGGGAACAAGTGGGCCTTTTAGACCTAGCTACTGCAGCCTCTGGAGGGGCAGTTAAAACACCCCCCAGCCTGGCCTCAGGCCTCTCCTCTTCAGAGGCCACCAGGCCTGCCCGACCCTGCCACCACACACAGCAGGATTTCGGCCGCCTCCTTAAAACTGAGAGGGGAAAGTGGCTTTCAAGCAGGCAATTTACCATTCCAGACACAATCTTTCAAAGAGAAACAAAAACTCTCCCTGTCTGAAGCAGACTGCTAAGGCGTGTGTGTAATAAGATGCTAATACAATTTAATGATATTTCGGCTGGAAAACCTGTCCTCAGAGCCTCCTTGTGTCGGGAAGGCCAGACATTCAGAAAACAAGAGCGGCACACTCTTAAAACTGCTTGAAACAGGGGGTCAGAGCCCCACTCTTTCCCATCTCTCATTAACTTTAATGCCTTCTTAGGGACAGTAATTGCAGTTACAAAAAGGATTTTATGCACACAGGGCCCAGGGCTGCCGTCTGCCATCTTTGAGTCTGCTTCTCCAAGCCTAGGGGAACCCAGCTGCACCTCCCTCTTCTACCATCACTACCCACCTGCAATTCTAAGCACCCCAGAGGGACCCAGGTCCCCTAAACACACTGCTCACACCCATTCTCCATCTACTCATCTACTTGGTCTTTTAGTGTTTACTCACCCTGCTCTTCATCTCAGAGAGGGAAAAGTTTGGTCCGCTCGCTTCCATATCTGGCTGCCCATTGGCATCTGCTGGCTCCTGCTGATCTCTTCTTCAGAGAAGGAAGCTGGCACTCTGGCCAAGCCTAAAGGTGAGAGATCAAAGGTCAAAGGTGCTTTAGGTGCCCTTCTAGGTCACTAATAAGAACAGGAAGAATGGCTAGTACTAATCAAGTGCTTACCACAGGCATAGCTTTGGGCTTAGGCGATCCCCCTCCACTTCCCGCCCCTTGCCTCTTGTTCTGGGGGTTGAACTCAGGACCTTACACATGATAGTTAAGTGTTCGACCACTTACCTATATCCCCAGCCCTGGGATTGGTCTTTTTTAATACACTGTATCACTTATTACACCAATGGTGGGCAAAGGGACTGTGGATTCACATCTAGGCTGTCCCACCTTCCGGGGGTATATTCCATTCTCAAAGGACTAAGTATATACGTAGGCTGACAATTTTCAGTATGGCTGAGAGTATTCCCAACCACAGGATTTTCTAAGAGGAAACTAAGAGTACCCTGTACTCCAGAACCAGCCTTCTTCCCTTCCTAAGTTTTGACCAAGGATGGAACCTGTGAATGTTAAGCAATTCAGGCACATGGTATGAGTTGGGTATTGGGAACACAGCCAAGCCCAGGGCTTCTCCTCTCAACTCTGTCCTGGCTTCCTCTGGCGGAATCTAAACTGTTCAGTCCCCAAACAGCCTGTTGCACGTGTTGTAAAGCACTGAGTGGAAGTTTCTGACCTGAGTCATGAGCAGGAGATAATCACCTCCCTGTTCACAGAAACACCAATTTTAACCAGAACATCCTGCCCACAGTCTCAAAAAGATGAGGGAGTTCAAGACACTGGCTTAAGACTCTAAGACACAGCTGGGCACCAGTGTGGTTCATGCCTGTGATCCTAGCTACTCAGGAGGTTGAGATCTGAGGATTGCAATTCAAAGCCAGCCTGGGCAGGAAAGTCTATGAGACTCTTATTTCCAATTAACTACCAAAAAGACAGAAGTAAGAGTGGTGGCTCAAGTGGTAGAGTGCCACTCTTGAACAAAAACAACAAACAGCTAGGCCCTGAGTTCAAGCCCCTCCCCCCCAAAAAGACTGAGGTGCATCTGGAGCTTGGGGTGCAGCAGCCCCCTTCCTCCGTCAATAAGAGGTGGAAGAGATTTCTGACAGCATCTTGGATCTGAGTCACTGGCCATTTTGCCAGGCAATTTAGGAAAAGGAAAAGCATGTTGGATGGGAAAACGTTCTGGAAACATTTGCTACATCCAGAGTCCAAACAACTCTGTCCTTCAACACTTCATCTCCAAAAGTACTGGGAAGACCCTAAGCCAAACAGTTTCAAAACCTACATTCACTGTAAGTTCCCGCTGCCGGGGGCAAGGACTTCCCTCTGAGAAGCATTTGCTGTGGAACCAAATGCTTTTCCACTCAAAACAACAGCCAGCAGCATTCAGGATACTCAGAGGGCTCCAGATCAAACAAACATCTTTCTCTCTCTCTCTCTTCTTTCTCTCTCCCCTACCATGCAAACTTTCTCAATAAATTATTCGCCCACTTCGGATCAAAGCCTGTTTTTGCAGCCTGTGACCTAAAAAGCAAATAGCATCCCTTAAACATGAAAGTCTTCCTCCCTGCCTGGGTCAGCTTTATTACTCATTCCTTCCCCCCTTACAGTTATTCTGTTGTTATTTTTCCTCCTCTGCTTGGTAGATCGCCCTGCGAGTCCCAACCCGCCTGAAGAGGACGGGACAGGAGGGCTGGTGGTTCACTTGGGCCCTAAGGTGAGAAAGGAAATTAGGGAAGGGGAGAAGGCAATACCCCAGGAGCCCAGGAAACAGGGCCAGGCCCGGTTGGCAACCTTCTGCCGGGCTCTTTTGCCAAATGTCCTACTGGGAATTTTACCAGTGGAGAGAGAGAGAGAGTCGGGGCTATCCTGGGAGGAGGGGCTAGGAGGTCTTAACCTCCTTCCAGGCCCAGAACTCAAGTTTGCAAACAACTTTTGTTGGGGGTATCCTAACACCTAGTCTGGACTTCAGAGCTTAGGGCTCTTCCTTCCCACCCAGGCCCCTTCCCTAACCCCTTTGCAGCTGCAATGAATGCACACAGGACCCCCCCAGCAAACTCTGCCTCTGGATACAACTTTGTGCCTCCACATGCACTGGAAGATGAGCCGGGAGTGAAATCTGCAGATCAGGGTTGTTGGGTGCAACATGCCCTTGGCATTAAAAAAAGCTTGGAGCCCCTATTCCAGCCCCCTCTACACCAGGCCCAGCGGCCAAGCTGGTTAAAATAATAATAATAATAATAAAATTGCCCGGGTTGGCTGCAGTGACTAAAGGAATTAGAAGGGGGGTTGCGCGCGCCTCCAGCCTGCCCCTAGAGGCACTCGGCGGGATGGCAGGCTGGAGGCGCGCCGGCGTGATTCCGACCGCGGGAGCTGGAAGGAGGAGCCGGAGGTAGCTGCGGGGGGCTCCGGCCCAGGCGAAAGAAGGGCACGAGGCGGTTCGGGCCAGGGGAGGCGCGCCAGGAGGTGGGTGGGCTTGGAGCCCGGGGAGGAGGAAAGATCGGGGAGCCCTCGGGGTAGCCCCGCCGAGGCCCTGGGGGTGGGGGGCGGAAGGGAGCGGTGTGTGCAGGGTTGGGGAAGGTGCTGGGCCTCTGGAAGGCAAGAGTGTGAAGCCTTTCCAGCGCGATCTTTGCAGACATCCTTACCCCCCCCCACCCCACGGCAGCACAGCCACGAGTGGACAATGTGACTCCGGTTCATTCCTGGGGCCGGGGCAGGGGGCGTCTCCGAACCCCGGGATGGGCGGGAAGATACCGCGGGGAGCCACAAGTCTGCACCCCGGAGGGGAGGAGGCGGGCGGGAGCCGCTCCGCAGGCGCAGGCGAGTGGGTGGGAAGGAGGGAAGAGGGGAGGAAGGAGGTGAGGCCGGGAAGATGCCGCTGCGGGGGGCGGGGCGGGGCTGGGCCCGGGGATCCGGCGGCGGCGGAGGGGGGGGTAGGGGGGGGAGAAACTGCAGCACTGCTTGCTTGGGGGGCGGGGGTTGCAATGTCACTCGTTGGGGGGAGGGGGTCAGGTGCGTGTGTCCCCTGAATTCGGATCCCGCCACTTAACCCCGCTCCCCTCGACCACCCGAGGGGAGGAAGGGTGGGCAGAGGAGGGGTGGGAGGTGGCACCGCCGTCTCTCCCGCGAGCGGGACGCGAACCGGCGGAGTTGGGAGAAGGTAAACAAGGGCCACGCCCCCTGCCGTCGCCCCGCGAGCGCGCACCCGCCGCTCCGGCCCCGTTGCCGGTACATTTCCACTCTCTTCCCCCGCCGGACTCCCGCGCAGCCCGGGAGGAGGGAGGGAGGGGTGGTGGTGGTGGTGGTGGTGGCGGCGGCGACTGTCCCCGACCCCCATTCCACACCCCAGGTGCTGGGACTAAGCACCCTCCACACTCACCTGGAAAGGTTGTCCCCCGCCCTTCCAAGAGGAAAAAAAAAAAAAAAACAGAAAAAAACACGCCAAAAAGCAACTGTCTTAATTTGTGCAAAGCCTCTGAGCCCGAGAGCCGAGCATGCTGCCCCCGCGTGCAGCGCCCGCGTGCACCCAGCGGGGAGCCAGGGGGCGCAGGGCGGAGGCGGTGACCCCCGCCCTCCCCCTCCCGGAAGGTGTCTAGGACCGGACTGGTTTTTGCACGTGAGCCCAACGCGGGGTCATGTGCACCGGCTCAACCCGGTTCGGGCGCCCGGACGTGCTGCGTATCAACAAAATGAAACTCGGGGCCACACCGGAGAGCACGATCGCTTCCCGGGTGATCGGGAGCACCCCCCCTTCCCCTTGACCACCACCCCTCACCCCGCGGGCGACCCTCCCCCTCTGCCACCCCACCTCGGCATCTCAACCTCCCCCCCTTCCATCCCTCCCCCCGCCCCCGTGGGCACCACTCTCCCTACACACTCCGTACCCATCTCCCCGCCGCAGCCCCCCTTCCAAACCCGGGCCGGAGCCCACGGGGCAAGTTGCAGCCCTGGCGCGCCCCCGCCCGCCCGCCCGCCCGCGCCCCCTGGCCGGCCCTGGGGGTGGGGGGGGGACGCCTTGCCGCAGTCATTAATAAAAGAAGGTCGCCAGGCTCACCCTTCCAAAAGTTGTGGTTGCATGCGCCCCTGCTCAGCCTCCCCGCACTGTACTCTTTAAAAACATGACTGACCAACATGCGCAATCTCTCAGCCCTGTGCTTGTGCATCGTCCCCCCACCCCCCGCGCTGGCTTCCTAGAACAGGCAGCCAGCGAGAGAGAGAGAGCGAGCGAGCGAGAGAGAGGAGCGCAGGCTGATCTGTTGCAAACACACACACACACTCACTCACACACACACACACACACACGCGCGCTACATACCGCCGCGGAGATGCGCAGGGCCCATCGGCCGCGGGGCCGCCTCTCACCTGGCTCCGCCGTGGCCCTTCCCGAGGGGCGCTGCCCTCCGCTACGCGCCGCGGCGGGGGCCGGCGCGGGAAGGATGCTCCCGAAACCAGGAGCTCCTGGGGCCGGCGCGGGAGGGCGGGGGGCGCGCATCCATCCGGGGTCGTGGCGAGGGAGGCGGTGGGGCCCCGCGGCGTCCCCGGCCCCGCGCGCGCCCTTTACTGGGGGTGGTGGTGGTGGTAGGGGTTGAGGGGGGGGGGAGGAGGAGGAGGAGGAGGGAGAGAGCGAGGGACGTTTTCAGCCCGCCAGACCCCAAGCGGGTGTCGCTGACGAGTGGGCGCAAAGTAACTCCATGGACGCTACTCACACCCCACCCCGCCACCACCACCACCACCCCCCCCAAAAATGAAAAATCAAATAGCCACGGACGGCGATGGCCGCGGTCGGCACCATTCACCAACCAACCCCCTGAGTATGTTTCTGTTTCTTTTTAAACCAAGACTTCCTTGTGATCTCTTTTTTGAAAAAAAAAAATGTGTTGGGGTGGGGGTGGGGTGGGGGCGGGCAGAGGGGGGGGAGTAGCCACTTTTCGTATTCACTCCCATCTCGGCTCCTGACACCCCCCCCTCCTCTTATTTGTAGCCGCCGCCCCCCCCCACACCCCCGGCCCCGCTTCCCAGTGGTGGGGCTCGGGAGGCGGGTTCCAGGTAGCGCCATGGGCCCCAGGACCCCCTCCCCTCCCCCCTTCGCCATGCACCCCCTTCGCTGGGCACCCGGGGCGCGCACTCCCGCGTGGACTCTGGGGGGCGCCCCCAGGGCCGGGCCCGAGCGGGCGGCAGCGCCCCGTGCAAGTCCCATCAGGTCGGCTCACACTTCGCACACTCACTCACACACACACACACACCCCGCCCCTGCGCTCACTCACACTTTCGGCTCACACCCCGCCCCCTTCGCACCCCAGACCCCGGGGCGGCGCCCCCCCTTCTCCTCTGCCACCTTAAAAAGAAGAAGAAAAAAAAAAACAGCTTATACTTAAAAAAAAAAAAAAAAAAGCCACACACACAAAACCCCTTTTGGCGCCATATTAATGACGTACTTAAAATTTGCCATTTCTCCCTGCGTCAAAAAGACGTTTCTTTTGCAAATAACAGCCCGGAGGCGACACTGGCGGAGGAAGCGAGGGTTTGCGCGGAGCACCCCGCCCCCCTCCGGGCTGGGGAGGGGTGAGGGGGGGCCGGGGAGGGGAGGGCGTGGGGGGGGAGGACGGCTCCAGCCCGGGGAGACCCTCGCCCTCCGCCCTGTGTCGGAATCGCTGGTGGTGTTTATTTATTTATTTATTTAACCCTCCCCCCCCCCCAAAAAAAATCGGAACCGAACACAGCGAGGCGGCGTCTGGCAGCGCCCCAGAAGTGCACCCCAAAGTGTTTGGCAGGGGCGCGGGGAGAGGGGCGCGCACGAGTCCGGAGAGGGGTGGAGGGAGGGGAGGAAAGGGGGCGAGGCTCTGCTCCCCCCCCTCCCCATCCAAATGGAAACTCCTGTCTCCCGGGGCCTGGGGTGTATAGGGGGGGTCGAAACTTGAAATTGTGGGCGACCTCGTGCAATGAGGTTTGGGTCCGTAAGGCGACGGGGTGGGGGGGGGAGAGTGTCCCTCTTAAACGTGTCGCCTTCTCCCCTTGGGTGTCTCTCTCTGGGGCGCCCGGCGCTGCCCCGCATTTCCGGGGAGGTGTGTGTTTGGGGGGGGCGCAGTGATGGGTGGCTGGGTGCAAGTCCTGGGCCTCCGAATCTGAGTTAACCCCAGGGGCGGGGAGGAGGGGGCACCGAGCCCCGGCCTCCCGGCTCTCCCCTCCCATGCCTCCCTCTTACAGGGTTAAAACCCCAGGGACGGGGCAACTTCCCAAGGGTGGGCACTTGGTGGAGAAGTGGGGCGCCCCTCTCCCCCCCCCACCCTTCGCCTCCTCTCCTCGCCCCTCCTCCTCCACCGGCTCCACTTCCCGACTTGACCTTGTGGTGTACAAACAGTGCGCTTGAATCCTCGCAGTTTCTGGAAGCAGAGCCGGGCGAGAGGGAGGGAGGGCGGGAGGGAGGGAGGACGGCTCACCCGGCCGCGGCGGGGCCTTGGGTCGGTTCCCGGAGCTCTGGGCCAACCACACCCACCCGACCCGCGGTGCCCGCGCCCAGCTCACCTCTCTAGGAAGGAAACAGGGCTGGGCTGGATGTGGGGAGCTGCAGGGGTGCAACCTGCCGCTTCCACGGAATGCCCTCAGGTGGAGGGGGGGTGGGGGCGGAGAGTTTGGGAGCCTAGACATTGTTGCTAACTCCCCCCCCCCCGCCCTCCTTCTTTGCCTGCCCCCCCCCACCAAGATGATACAGTATTGGTGGTGGTGGTGGCTGGGTTTTTGTGTGTGTGTTGGTTTTTTGGTTGTTTTTTTTTTTTTTTAAGTCTTCAATTCACCTTTGGCTTTTGAAGTTGTGAATCCCTTTCCCTCTCCAAGACTGAAGGTTGTTTCTTCTTCCTTTTTTTCCCCCTGTGCACTCCCCGCCTTTCCATAGGAAGATAAATATGCAGTTTACATAAGATGACATTTATGGGACAATTAAGAAGATTTCTCCCCCTCCCCCATGGAGTATTGTGAACACATTTGCTTATAGGAGAAATAAATCTAATAAGAAAGTCGTAATAACAGCTCAAGTCCCTCTGACGGAGTGGATTGTCTGTACAATAAAGGAGATGATGGATACTGAAATAAATTTTTTTGGTTTTTTTTTTTTTTTTTTTTTTGCATCAAGAAAGAAATAAGAGCTCAGAGGAAGACACCAGGACATCTCTCCTGGGCCTTCATTCATAGTGTGCAAGGAGACTTGTCTCGTAAGAGGAGAGGCTGGCTAACACCTGGCTTTGGTTCTCTCTGCTCAGTCACTAGGATTTCCCCAGGCCAAGGTCAATGCCTGGGAACAGGTGTTTGATGTGGGAGTGCTTACCAGGTGTTTAAATACCTAAGTTCTTCTTTTTCTTTTTAATATCAGTACAGAAACTTGAATTCAAGTCCTCATGTTCTTGCTTGGACTTTTTTTTTTTCCCCTCAAAGTTGCTGTTCTATCACTTGAGACATGAGCTCCACTTCTGGCTTTTTGCTGATTAATCAGAGATGAGAATCTCTCAGACTTTCCTGTACAAGCTAGCTTTGAACCAAAACCCTCAGATCTTAGCCTCCTGAGTACTAGGGTTACAGATGTGAGCCACCAAACTCAACCCAAAGATCTGAGTTCTAATGATGATTTGCAATTCAGAAAGAACACACTTCTCTAGGCCTGTTTTGTCCTTTCATAGAATGGTGGTTGGAAGACTCTTGAGGCTATGTGAACACAGATTTACAGATACACACACACATATAATATTTTATATAGATATATAGAGAGAGAGAGACCTCAGAACACACAGTACCCATGAGCACTTTGCCCAGTTCCTTCCTTTGTTCTGTTGTTCCTTCTTTCCTTCCATTTATTTTTGATGCCGGAAATTGAGCCAATAATCCAATGATTTCTAGTTAAGCCTTTAATGAAGAGAAGGTGGACATGTTGTCAAAGTTCAGAAAACAGGTTCTACTCCATGTCTAGAACAGGAATGGAAACATGAGCCACCGTTGGTGACTCCAGAGCTACTCAGGAGATCTGAGGATCAAAGTTTAAAGCCAGCCCCAGCAGGAAAATCCAGGAGACTCTTGTCTCCAGTTAACTACCAAAAAAGCCAGAAGTAGAGCTATGGCTCAAATGATAGAGTGCTAGCCTTGAGCAAAAAAAGCTCAGGGAAAGCCAGGCGCTGGTGGCTCACGCCTGTAATCCTAGCTACTCAGGAGGCTGAGATCTGAGGATCGCGGTTCAAAGCCAGCCCGGGCAGGAGAGATCGTGAGACTCCTATCTCCAATAAACCACCAGAAAACCGGAAGTGGCGCTATAGCTCAAGTGGTAGAGCGCTCACCTTGAGCTGAAGAGCTGAGGGACAGCGCCCAGGCCCAGAGTTCAAGCCCCACAACCGACAAAAAAAAAAAAAAAAGCTCAGGGACAGTATCCAGGCCCTGAGTTCAAGCTCCAGAACAGCACAAAAATAAAATGTAAACAAATAATGAAAATATGTTTGATAAATGTAATAGAGCAAAAATGAGGTAGGAAAGGAGGACATAGTATGGGGATACAGATTTCTTTTGGGGGGACTGGTACTGGGTCTTGAACTCAGGGCCTCACACTCTTGCTTGGCCTTCTTCCCTCAAGGCTAGCATTCTACTACTTAAGCCACAGCTCTACCTTTGGCTTTTTGATCATTAATTGCAGGTAAGAGTCTTATAGACTTTCCTTCCCAGGCTGACTTCAACCTAGGATCCTCTGATCCCCACCTCCTGAGTGGCTAGAATTAGAGCTACCAATACCTGGCATAAGCCAGGCCTTCTTAACCCAGACACTCCCTTCCATAAGTCTGTGGGTAGAATTCATGAGGTTGGTCTTGATGTTCAATGAGGAGGAAAAAAAAAAATCCCAGTTTTATTTTCACTAATTAAAATGTGGTGTGTTCTTCAATTATGAATACAGACAACAAATCAGTGGTGTGAGCAGCACCTGTGACACTGTGGCTGGCAGAAGTCGCAGCTATTTTCATGTCACATTACATTGTGACAAATACCTTAAAATATCATTCCACTCATCACCACTTCAGGATTATGCTGCTACTCTTGTAGTTTAATGAATTAATAAAGAAACACGTAGATTACACATTTTTTTTAAATATGAGAGTTGTATTTCAAGGTACGGGGTTTCCTTTATAATTTAGGAAGTTGAATTTATGAATTTACAGATCACAGGGCTAGGAATATAGCTGGGTGTTAGAGTGCTCATCTAGCATGCATGAGGCCCAAGTTCAATCTCCAGCACCAATACATAAACAAAAATAAACAGGCTCAGGCCTGTCATCACAGCCATTCCAGCGACTGAGAATTGAAGATCATGGTTCAAAGCCAGCCACAGCAGGAAAATCTGAGAGACTCTTTTCTTTTTGTTAGTCGTGGGGCTTGAACTCTGGGCCTGGGCGCTGTCCCTCAGCTCTTCAGCTCAAGGCTAGCGCTCTACCACTTGAGCTACAGCACCACTTCCAGTTTTCTGGTGGTTTATTGGAGATAAGAGTTTCACAGACTTTCATTGTTCAAAGCCAGCTTGGGCAAGAAAGTTCATGAGACTCTTCTCTCCAGATAA